GCATTCCGATGTGTAATTTTACATTGTGTACAATCTGATTTTTAAATACCTAACATAGATAGCATTTATATGTCAGATGTTCCAATATGAGCATTAATAACTGTGTATTGATGTTCGTAGGCGTAGATAGGGACTTAATAATGAAATTTACTGTGCGAAACTTTGTCTATGAATGTTTGGGATGTTGAGCTCTGAATATTTACCTTCATTTCCACAAATTTGTTTTTATGTTACATTATAATTAATATATTTTTCACAGTTGTTGTATTCAGAGTTCAACGATATCTTATAGTGGTAGGGATTTTATAACGGGATGGATGTGAAGAAGTACTCTATTTTCGCCTATGTTGATGTTTTAAGGTGCGTTAAGATTTTTGCATTTGCACTTATAGTTGGGTCTTCGACGCTTTTAACGCTGTAACAAGGTAATTCGCTTCTAGATCAAGAGGTATTGATCAATCAATATCTATAAAGTAACTTTCAGATTAATTATATCATTGATCTGGGATTAATTCAATATAATAACCAAACAAGACAAATTTTGGACTGAATCAACTAGTTTTTAGGGTGTCATAAATGATTTATATTGTAAAATTCTCTGATTTTTGTTAAATTTTTGAGGCTTTTAATTTTTATTCATTGATATGCGGTTATTACAAACTTTCCTGAGATTTTCAAAAGATCTTTTTTAATATTCGGGTTGTATAAACATTTTTTTAATTAAGGCTAACTTGAGATGGTATTTTATGGTAAAAATTTTATATTTTTGGCATGGACATGGATAAAAGTCATTACTATTGAAATAAAGAAAGTATCATCTAAATAGACTATACAGACCTTTGAAATAAAAAAAGATGTTATATTTCTCATAAAGCTTGGGCTATTTACCTTGCTTTTGTGAGTTTATTATGGAAATCTGATAGATATGCCTTTGAGAATCCGTATTATTTATTATAGAAGTATGTTAACCTTTAAGGTTTCCTACTGATTATTGCTCCTATTCATAGTTAATGTCTGTGATAACTATGTGATATGTCTATTAAAAATTAAAAAAAAAGTTTGCTAAAAACTTAAATTCTGATCTAATTTTTGGAAAAACCATTTTAGTGTATAGAAAATTACTTTACCAATTTCTTAAACAGTTAATCCTAAAAGAGTTACATATTGTACAACAAAAAATTGATTTTCTGTTCTCTCGTGGTGTAACATCAAAGATAGTGTACACAGAATCGTCTGGTCATGTTTGACTTGAATGGTCTTCTTAATGCCGCAATAAAGTTTAATATTACAATAACTATTTTCTTGACTGCCGAATTCGATATGACCTCTTATTTGTGCTTACTTTATTTTATAAAAGTTATTAGTTTTTTTTATTGGTACCTATATATGACAATAATGTCAAATCCCTACAGCTGTCTAAATTGCCAATATATCGAAGAACTTCCACAATGTTGTTTATTGTTTTATTCTGAAATACTAATTATTGGTTAGGTTATTGCTTTACTGATTCATCTCCAAATTCCTACGCTATAGTCTTACATGTATAAGTAGATAACTTAAACTTGCCAACGATTCTGTAATTCCCAGTGAAACTGTAGATACATTTTACAGTCCATAATTATTTTCGAAGGATACATACATATTATAGTCATTGATTTTTTAAATTATGGTTTTATTCCTTTTTGTTATCATTGATTAAATATAACCGAAATTGGTAAAAAAAATAACCATCGAATTGGAAATTTTAAAAGTTATGACACTCAATTCGAACATTGCAAACAAATGACGGACATTTATGACCCAACTATAACCCAACTGTACTTATTGTGATACCTAATTTATAGTCATAGATTTGATGTTATTTATTAAACATAAATTGATAGAAAAGTATTAAAAGTTACTTATTTTTATAAATTTTGTACAGCGTAACCAATTTTATTGACTGCCTAGATTGAAAATATATGATTGCGTATTTTGTAATTTTGTTTGAGAACTTGAAAACTTTTGGAAATTGTTTATGTGAAATAAATAGAATTTATGTTTGCGCTCGTCTTTTATTTATTTAATTCCTTCAAATTATTTTAGAAGAATTTAAGAAATCTTGAGTACTACAAGGCTGAATTATCATAAATATTTTCCTAATTGGGATTGATTGACTCTGATATCGTTCGCAGATGATATATGTCTCAGCACAAATACCACAGCAATATCAGAAAGCAATAATAGTAAGTATAGTTGACGTTTTTATACGGTGGAAAGTTTAAACTGGGTTAAACTTTATTCCGACTGGTTAGAGAAGTTCTTATCCTCGATACTGCTCCTCCCAATGGTTAATAGAACACGTCCTAATGACAAATTGAACAAGTTTGAATAAGGTATAACCAAATAAACACCCGCGAATCAACTGAGAAGATAAGATAGCGCTATCGATGTCGTAAATACAAAAATATTGTTCTACAAACAGACATCTAGATTATAAATATATTCGATTGACTCTTTTGTAGCAGCCAGGAAATCCGAAGGGTTGCCGTTATAGGATATAATTGGGCATTCCTCTACCATGTGTTTTACTGTTTGCCTTTCGGCGCCGCAGTCGCAATTTGGTAATTGTATTTTTCTCCATCTAAAAAGTGAGTCTGAACATCTGCCACAGTTCGTCCTTATTCTATTGAGTGTGGTCCAAATTCGTCTCGGTTGGTTGAAGCCCTCAGGTTTGCTTGTAATACATGGCATGTTCCAGTTAGCTGGTGCAGCGTTATTCTCCCATTGTTCTCTCCACCGTTCAGTTACATTAAAGTTTTGATCTACTAGCCTTTTTACTGTTTTTAGAGGCGGGTGTCTTGAACGGAGCCTATTTATGTCTCTAGCGGAAGTTCCGACATGGTAGCGGAGATAAGATCAGTATTGATTTTTGTAAATTCTCTGAAAAGGCTTGTTCCCGACGGATGGGTGGTGGAGCTATATGACTCAAAGGTGGTAACCAGTAAGTGGGCGTGGCCTTGATTGTGACCGATATAGTTCGCATGGCTTGGTTGAGTTGGAAATCAACACGGTGAGTATGTGGACTGTTTATCCATACTGGTGCACAGTATTCCGCTACGGGGTATACCAGTCCTAATGCTGTCGATCTAAGTGTGGGTGCTGAGGAGCCCCATGTAGTGCCGCAGAGCTTTTGCAGGATGTTGTTACGAGTTCGGAGTTTTGCAGGTCTTAGTAAGATACTCTTTAAAGTTTTGCGTTCTGTCAAGTGTAACACCTAAGCATTTTGGGTGTTTATTATAGTTAAGGAGTCTATCCTCAAAATGACTATATAACTATATGAAATGTGCAATTAGGCATTCTAAGGTAATTGCAATATTTATCAACATCATTTATCTTCATTTCCTCCAATAGATTATTAAAAGCCCCTTGTCACTTTCTTTGCTTAAAATATTTTGCGAATTAAAAGAAGCAGACATAATAATAGCGTTTTATTAACTTTGCGAACATAGCTTCTTCGATTTAAATTCATGTTTTAATAAATTGAAAGTATTGGAATTGAATGAATTGGAATGAAAGTTAAACTATTGGAATACAATTAGGTTACAAAACATCCGTTTTATCGGAAAAAGCTAAAATAATTTCATCTTTATCCGATGTCTCAAGCGTAGTTAAAAATTTCTGATGAAATTCGGCGCCAAAATCGGAAACATGGGACTCCGCCTTTACTCCATGGTCAATCGACAAATAAGCAGACAGCATCAGAACTGCTTAAAAAACGGTGAAATTTGCACTGTGCCCCGCAATCGCGAGATGTCTCCAACTATTCTAATGAAAAGAAAATAGACAAAATGACATTTGACAGTGTTCAAGATCCCGTCAAACTTGGACCAACTTCACGTATGACGTGCAATCTGAACGTAGTTACGTTGACATTTATTCAACTTTCTCGGTTATTTCCTCTATATCGTTTATTCCTTATTTAACATAGATCGTTTACACCTTATCCTCAGCGTTTGACCACATATTCGCAAAGTTTTGCCGTATTATTACGCTGACATTAGACAACGTAGAAAATCTTAAAATAATGAAAATATCATGTTATTAATTATTAAAAATTCGTCTGTTTTAAAGTACTACTCAACTTAATGAAAAAGTACAACCACAAAAAATAATGAATTGTAATGAGGCATCTGCATGATGCATCAATAAAAAACAAAACTACTGGACACATTATTCGTAATATTGTATTAAGTAGTTTTGTTTTTGGATATATTGAAGTCATATAGATTTAGAGAACTAATGGTGCGAAGCAATTGAGATGGCATAATGTAAACTGAGTGGGACTTCGCGCAGAACATACTGGATGAGGAGTTCTCATCTCCGACACGGCAAGTCCCAATGGCTAATTGAGAACGTTCTATGGATGTATAGGACAGGTAAGTAAAGTAAAACAATATAAACACTACAAAAACTAATATTGCACCGCAGGATACCAGACGCATGGAGAAACAGCATATTGATACCAATGTTCAAGAAAGGAGATAAAGAGACCCCAACAATTATAGAGGTATAAATGTAATGAACACCGCACTTAAGCTTACAACAAAATCAATAAACTAGGAGCAACGAGCTTTGTCGTTACTTTATTATTGATACATACACAATATTTAATAATTCTTTATTAAATACCAATTTCACTGGCATTATTCTATTGTGGCTTATCCCTATGTTGTTAAATAATGTCAAAGATTTTTTATATTGATATTTTTATATTGATAATAATAATGTTTAAGTTAAATATTTTTTTTACTATTTTTAATATTGTTTTTAACGTTTGTTCTTGTGATTTATTGAAACGACTTTTAATTTTTACATTTTACCATTTTAAAACTATTGTAGATAAAAAGAGCGAAGACGTCCCTGTAGCGTATTTTGGTCTTAAAATAATTTGCCAGAAGCCAATCTTTATAATCTGCGCAGACACTGACGCTCAGAACATTGTTTTCTGTCAGTTGCCAAAAAAATAGGCGCCATTGTAAGATAAGCGTTAGTGTTGTTTAGACAGATATTTATGAAGAAATAAATTTTTTCTTCTGCTTATGTTTTTGAATGCTTCAAGCATTCTAGGTTAATTGAGGTTACGTTTTAATAACAAAAATATTGCAATTATGAAGAGGCCCAACTTTAAAGTCGGCGATAAAATCTTCGCCAAAGTTAAGGGGTATCCAGTATGGCCAGCACGCGTAAGTAAATAAAAATAATTTTTGAATAAATTAAACAAGAGGTTTTTTTAGATTGTCTCCGAAGCAGGAAAAAAGTTCAATGTTTTATTTTATGGCACTGGTGAAACGTAAGTACTCTCTTAGTAAATTATACCAATGCGGCTTTCTATTGACAAATAACCCAAACTAATAAACAAAAAAAAGTTGTGTTACGAATCTCCTTGGATACAATGTTAAGACCTTTATTTTATCACACCCACAATAATTTGGTTAGGGAAGCTGCTGGTGCATTAAAAACTACAGTAGCAAAATAAAGTGAAAGCAATATGTAATAATTTATAAGTATGCTTCACCTGTCTACCTTGTTACATTGTTTTTATCTTTAATTTAGACATATGTTTAAATTAAACTGCAGTTAAGCATTAGTTAACTACATAAAATAAAATGTGTAACTATTACATATATACATTATCTTTATCCTTATTTATGCCAAATTTATTTTCATGGTGTTTCTTGCTTGTCAGAAATTTCTCATGTGTATTTCAACATTCATTGAATCTTTGTTTTAAGTATACTCTCCATTTCATCTAGACTCTATTTTTAACCTAATAAGTTTCTTGAAAGCGATTATTTCAGTCATCACTTCAATTTTCTGGTATTTATAATTTATTAGTAGATCATACTAGTAACTCATCATCATCATACATTAGATCTCTCTCTGTCTCTGCATATAAGATTACACCAATTAGGATAATACTGGACTCTGATATACTGTTAAATTCCCTATTATTTAAATTATTAACATTCAATAATACACTTCTGCAAATGAATGTTATGAATTTTAGCAAGTTGCGATATACTCCCAAAAGATATTCTAAAAAAACTCATATCCACACTAGAAGTTTGAGAAGAATAGAATATAGTGGAAGTATCATTTTATGATTATGTAGCAGTATAGTAATTCTAATCATGGGCTCTGCATATGTTCAAGTGTAAAGTTTAACTTTGACTAAGCTTGGGCCCTATACAATAAGAAATTAGCCGACAAACTTATCTTAAGAATGAAAAGCTTGTGCGAAGGTTTCTTACATTAATTTTTTCATTCCTCAATAATTTATGAAAATAGAAAATATTTCAAGAAAGATTTTACATGTAAAAAGTTCTTAGTCCAGTTGTGGATCTATCTGTATAAAAATTGTGGTGAATCTTCTTCTTACGGTGCCTTATCCTTAAGGACATTGGCCATTACATTTGCCCATTTAATCTGATTTGTAGCAGCCCTGAATAGTTATATGGAGGTCATGTTCATCCATTGCCGTAGGTTTTTAAGCCAAGAGTTGCATCTTCTTCCTGGTCCACTTTTGCTATTGACATTGCCTTCGATTATAAGTTGGAGCAGTTCATACTTTTGATTTCTTATGATGTGATCAAAATATTGTGTTTTCCGTTCTTTTATTATAAGCATAAGCTCTCTTTCCTTATTCATCCTCCTCAAGACTTCTGCATTTGCCGTATGGCTCATTGTGGTGAATGGGAACTAAAATTATTATAGAAATTTTTTGGAAAATTGTTTATAACTATAATTATAATGGACACCAAATGAAAAATTAGTGTGGAACAATTTTAAAATAAAGTATCAATGTTTTAAACCCTTATTTTTTAACCATTTATCCTGCTTATCTCAAAAATATTATATTTGGACAAAAATGAATAGAAATACAAATGTATTTGTTCGATTAGTAAATAAGACATGTTCTAGTGCATACAAGCATAAATTGGTGAACAAATGATGGTTCAGAAATTTACTTAAGAAAAATCGGAGATCTGTATACAGTTTCTGATTATTTGGTGTGTAAATTATTTTAAGGATTAGCCAAACAATGGTACAAAGAAGAAGGTGATACAACTTTTTTGTTTTTGCATAATTTGCAAGCAGCTGTGTCCTGAAAATATTCAAAGCTTTGTTTTGGGGAAAATTCTTTGTGATATAAGTTGCTGATTTTTCATGTATTGAAAAGCAAACCAGCTTTTAAGTCCATTTTGAAAAATTAAAATCAGTTTATAAGTTAAACTGAGAAAAGAAAAATCAAATACTTATGTTTTATTTCTGTTTAAAATTATCTCAGCTATATTATTTATTTGAAAGATTTGTTTTTATGGTATAAAGATTCTTGGTAAATCGATTTTCTTGCATTTTTACCCCCCTGTGCGGTGGGTTTTAGGGGGAAGCCCGGGGGTAAAAGTGTTAAATTTTTTTGCATCTTTTTTGGGATCCCAAAATTAATATTCCTTGCAAAATTCAGCTTGTGTGTACGATGTTTAGGGGTCAACTCTCTGACAACTAGACTATATTTAACTACAGTCAAAATCGTTTACAATGACACCGGCTATAACGTACAATCGGATATAACAAACAAAATAGTAGGTCCCATAAAATGACATACAAAAAACGCATTTATATTGCTTATAATGAACAAATCGGTTAGAGCAAACGTATTTCTTGGAACACTAGTAGTTAAAATATTGGTTACAGCGTACTATATTGGTAATAAATAAGTTTAAAAGTGCTATCCTGTAAAGTTATGAAAATGGACATTGTAGTGTTGTATTTCTCACAGATATTACCGATATTTAATACCACGAAATGAGAAGTAAGGATTTATTAATTTATGGTTATAGTACATCCGGACAGGCATCTACTGTCCTTTAGACAGTTAGACCTCCCAAGACGGGTCCATTGTATTACAAAATTTTGTTTATACATATTTCACCATTTGGCCTAAGCCAAGAGTTTCTGAATTTGAATTCAGTTGTGTCTAGCCTTCATTGAAAAAATGTCACGGAAACAATTTACTATTGAGGAACAATTTGGAATAACCGAGTCGATTCCGGTGATTCCGCGAGTTCGATTGCCCGGGAATTTAAAACATCACTCTCGACAATTGCTGGAATAATGAAAAGGCGAGAGAAAATTATTAAGCAATTTAATAAGTGTGAAAAAGGAAAACGCGTTCGGTCATCAAATTACAGTGACATTGAAAGTGCTTTGCTCGATTGGTTTAAACAACAACGCGCAAACAATGTACCCGTGAGTGGGCCGATGCTTCAGGTAAAGGCTGATGCTTTCGCTGTGATTTTGAAGAAGAATTTTAAGTGTAATGCTTCCTGGGTTCAACGTTTTCGAGCTCGCCACAATATTGTCCATGGAAAAATTTCAGGTGAGTCAGCAGTTGTTGACAGATCAATTATAAATGACTGGTTTGAAAATGTGTGGCCTACACTCAGGTCCGACTATAGCGATGATGAAATTTTTAATGCTGACGAGATGGGGTTATTTTTTAGACTGACACCTGATCACACGTTAAAGTTTAACGGCGAGAAATGTTCCGGTGGTAAACTCTCAAAAGAGCGTGTTACAGTTCTTGTTGCAGCCAACATGTCCGGTTCCATAAAAAGGAAGCTTTTGGTGATAGGAAAAAGTAAAATGCCGCGCTGTTTTAAAAACGTGAAAAATCTCTCTGTTGATTATGATTTCAATAAAAAAGCCTGGATGACGTCAGCTATTTTTGGAAAGACTTTACTAAAATGGGACAGTGAACTTTTACAACAAAAGAAACACATAATTTTAATTGTCGATAACTGTTCGTCCCACCCCCCAGTTGACAGGTTAAAGCAAATTAAACTCGTTTTTCTGCCTCCAAATTGTACGTCTGTACTGCAGCCCATGGACCAAGGAGTTATAAGAAGTCTTAAAGCATGCTTTCGGAAAGAATAGGTGTACAAAATCATCGAAAAGAGAGAGAATAACGACGATACGAAAGTCAGTATTCTTGACGCTGTACTAATGATATCAAAGGCATGGGAATCTGTGCGGAAGGAAACGATCATCAACTGTTTTCGTTTTTCCGGCCTAAGTAAAGACTTACAATCATCAGGAATCCCATACAACGATATTGCATAAACCCATTTGCAGGATGCCATTTCCCTTTTCAGTTCTGACTGCTCTGCAGATGACTATGTACGAGTGGATGACGAAATAAGTACGAGCGAAGAACTCTCAGATATTGACATCGTACTGAGTCACCAAACTAGTGACAAACAAAGTACTGATGAGGCTGATGAAGAATTGGAAGATTTCGGCAAAATCCCTACTGTTGCTGAAGCGTATGCTGCTTGTTCCACCATACGAGCATTTATTCAGACTACTGAAATTTCCCAGAGTGTAAAAGAATCATTATCGATTGTTTCCACATCAATTGAAAAAATGTTTTTTTTTTTCAGAAGTTCAAGGAAGGCGACAAACAAAAATTACAGACTTTTTTCATTAAATATTCAGGTAAAATGTGTTTACATATTTTGTAATACATATATGTATGTATTTTTTTTGTCTTTTTAAAATAAATAGTATATGTATGCCTACATTTTTATAATACGAAGATTTGGAGAAGCCGTTATATTATGTGTATACTTTATTTACTACTTATACTTATTTCAATACATATTATACATAGATGTATGTACATATTCAGATTTGCTTAAGTACAATAAACACATATGTTAAATGTTATGTATATGTTATTATAACATATTATAAGTATAGTTAAAGTAACACATTTTTGCCTTAACCCTAGGTACAACGAACTAACTGTCCCTATTAGTGTAATATCGTTTATAGCAACCTGTTCATTATAACCGATAGAACTGCTTACAGAGAACACTGGCTACAACATACAAAAAGCACCAGTCCCCTGAAGCTCGTTATAAACGATTTTGACTGTATTTATAAAACTCATCTGGACAGATGGGGATGCACCAGCAAGTTGAACATCTCTATTATACAAAGAAATCACTCTAAAATACTCAGCATGATAACATATGCACCATGATATCTCCTTTTAAACACAACACAAAGACCTAAAAATAGATTGTGGTAAAGATGGCATTTAAAGACAAAGCCCAAAACACCATAATAAATTAGAAATCCTAGTTTGTTCACTACTACTGTCTCATACCAGAATACTTTGAAAAAAGAAAAATTGACTAGCAGGCCTACAAAATGGTTGAAGATGACTTGTGTAGAAGGACTCTCACATCAAACATAAGCAGTAATGTGCTCTAAAATCACCACATTAGCCTATACATTAACATTTTGATCTAATTTAAATATAAACTTAAAAAAAATATATATCTGAATATAATTTGCTCAAGTATAATCAATATTATAGATATTAAGTACATAATTTGTATTATTTGCTATATTCTAGTTATATTGCTTTTGTAATATGTCTTCCTGGTCTAATTATTTGTTATTAAAGGTGGATGTAGCGTATTGGTGGAACCGGTTAATTATTTTATTATCATACTGGTTTCTGTTATTTTGTTGGCCCAATAGCAAAAAATATGTAATAAATGCTTAAATCAATTCTAGTGATAATTAGGTGACCTTTTAAATATACCTACTACTTTTTATATTTACAAAGAAGTAACTATACCATTCCTGTACAATGAAGTACTTTTATTTATTTTTGAATCATTTTTAAACTTATTTCATAATTCAAGAGAGTGAAACATTGAGGTGACTTTAATATGTTTTGAGTATAGTTAGTGTTGGTGATTAAAGTATTGGAGCCATTTTTTTTCTTTTTTGTTTAATTAGATTTTAATTTATTTTATATGTCTATTTTTTGTTTTAATAGATTGTTTTGAAATAATAGTTGACTGGAGATTTGTTAAAGGCTTTCTCAAAATCAACTAGACATATGAATATGTTACAGTTGACATCTTGACACAATTCAGAGTATTTATACAGTAAATAATGCATTTCTAGAGCCAAAGCCTTTTTGAAATCCTACTTGATTTCCTGTTATTCTATTGTCTAGGTTTTACTCAAAGTAACTCTTTGGTGGTTAGTAGTTCCTTGAGGACCACATTTGGAAGGTCGTTTATGTAGACCAAAAAGAGAAAAGGCCCCAGAACACTCCCCTGTGGTATACCTAATTTTAAATTGATCGGTTCATAGTAAACCTTACATCCACTTTTCTCCAGGCATAACTTTTGTGACCTATCTGTGAGAAATGATTTTATCCATTTTAATGCCGGTCCCTGTATTCCATAAAAATGTAATTTTTGTAATAAAAGAACATGAACATTGTTTGTAGTAAACCGGTTTTGTAGTCTGAAATATATTGCTTTTTCAAATATTTTTGAGAATGATGGAAGAAGGCTTATTGGTCTATAGTTCTCCATCTTAGTAACATCACCTTTTTTATGTAGTGGCTTGACAATTGCCAGTTTTAAATTTTGAGGAAATTTACCTTGCCTGAAAGAAGCATTAACTATAAAAGAAAGAGGAAGAGAAATCTCTGATGAAACATATTTAATTAAATTGGTTGATATTTCATCTTAACCAGAGCTTTCCACCCTGATGTTCCTATTATACTATTATTTGTACGTTTTTGTCCATTGTCATTGTGGGCCTAAACACTTTTTTTTTCTCCTAATCTTTTTAACCACAGTGCCAAAGATACATCTAAGTATTCATCTGAAGAGAAATTTCCTTCTATAAGGTTATCATCCTCAATGTCTTCCTCATCAGTTAATATATCTGGGTCTTAAGGAATAATAACAATATCCACCTCAGATCGCGAATTAGAAGCACCAATATCTTTTAAAACTTATAAAAGATAAACCTTTGTATTTCTTTCCATAGAAAATTTGAACGCTAACACTCTCAAAATCATGTACAGTTGCCATATCTGTAACAAAATTGTAAAATATATATACACCCAATAGCCCATTGTACTCATATGAGTACACCTAATTTAACAACAAAAAATTGTGTTATAATTAAAATTCTGAAAAATAAATCACTTAAGCCTTAAGCCCTTTATTAAACTTATTATAAACTAACGTAAACCATTTGATGGTAAAAAGAAGTAAATGAGGGAAACTTACTACAAAGTTTATGTCAAGAAAATAAAAAACGCACCTGTTGACTTCATAAACAATAAATCAAAACTAACAAACCAGCTGAATCATTCAACAAAATATGTTGACTGAAATTGTCATCTTATTTGTATTTAGTTTCCTGTTTTTACTAAAAATTGCAAATATTTTATTGTAGATGGCACTAGTATGTCAAAATAGCTATACTTAAATGAGTACAGAGTACTTGTCAATATAATTTTCATGGAAGAATTTAAAATTAAAATATAAACTTTCTTTTAGGGGTTGCATTAGTAGTGACCATTTATTTTATTACTTGAAAAATAAGAAAAAGTTCCAGAAGCCATTGAAAAGTAAAGACTACATTGCTGCTTTTAAAGAAATAGAAGAAGCTATAGAAAATGATGGTGGAGATGGAGATGAATCACCAAATAAAAACGATTCCCTAGCGGCTGATGTAAGTTTCCCAAGAGTTTTTATTTGCCTTTACCCTATTGTAATTATTTTAATTTTAGTGCATAATTCATAGTAATTGCATCGGCTAAAAATTATTTTGAATAATTTTTCAGGTCTCATTAAACACTTCGACTGCCAACAATAGCATTATAGAAAAACCCGAAAAGAAAACGGCAGCCAAAAGGAAGCGGCCCTCTGTAGCAGATGAAGCTGCGGCAGCCGAAACGAGCACACCTAAAAAGAAATCATCTCGTATTTCAAGTAGAAGTGAAGGTATTTAATATAAAGTATTAAATTTAGTTTACAAAGTGTAGGTACTTATGCTCTCAGAAATTCAGATGGATTTAAAAAACGAAATTGTTTTAAAATGTCACTAAAATAGATGTCTTATCATTTTGATTTGTATCATTCGCATTCAGCCAGATAGTCATAGAATAGCAGTTGTGTTATGATAAAATATACTCAATAATAATATTATTATTTATGGAAAAAATCGTAAAGTATGATAATATTCTGTCTGTAAAATTTAAAGATGACACCGTTGAGTATAGTCTGGATCTTGTGATAAGTAGAAAAGATCAATAAAATCTTCCTACGTCAGGTGAGACACTTGTCTCTATCCATTGATTGTGAGACCTTTGTGACAAATTCTATCCTTTTGCAAGTCCAATATATAGTATTGGAGTAACTTGTCTAACTATTTTAATGTATAAAGTTGATATGAAAGCAATATTGATAAATTAGTTGAACATCCACTGGAAGTAAAAATATTAATTATCATCTATTGAACGCTCTTCTGATGGTGGACACTATCGTGATCAGATACTTACTGTCTTCTGTAGTGTGTTTAATGTAATTGTTTCATGTCCATGTTGTTGTATATGTTATGTGGCACAGATATGAGGTTTTATCTAATCACTACAAACACTCGTAAATATTTTCAAATTTAAAGCTTAATGCAAAAAACTAGTTGTTAAAAAAAGGAGATAAAATAGCTAAAAAAAATAAAAACAGTACATTAAAATGTTCATAATAATTGTTCATTAAGATAAAATTAGAATGTTTATAATTAATGTTCACTATGGTTCGCTTTCAGATGGTAATACGCACAACTTCACCACAGGTCTTTTGAAGGTGCTGGATACAGTCTTCACGGTCACTGAAAGAATAACGCCGTCCTTGTCAGGATGAGTCTCGATGATGTATCCAAGATCATATTTCAACGGTGGTAGACCATCTTCTTTGACCATTACTAAAGTTTCGACCTCCAAGTGTTGTTTAAAATTTTCTTTTCAATTCACTCGTTGTTGTAAAGTGGAGATATACTCTTTGGATCACCTGGTCCAAGAAAGTCGGCTCAATTGCTGAATTCGTTCATAACGAGAATATATCAATAAGAAAATATGCAATGTGCAAACTATAAGAAAATGTGCAATGTGCACATATGTGTGAGAATGAGAAGGAACTAAAAATTGTAGTGAAGTTAAACAGTGGTTATTTTACCAAATTTCAAGTATCAAGTTTCACACAGTTAAATCAAGCTAAGGATTTAAGTAAATGAAATATACTGACCTTTTATTTATGTTGGTCGTTTTTGTACAATGCCAAGGACGGGACTGGTGGTCTCTCACAAGTCAATATTCTCTCTTAGGGCCAATAATGTTGTGTATGTTATGTAGAGGTGTGCTTATTAGTTCTTTTAGACGAACTAGTTCAACATAACTATTTCACAAAAATGAACTAGTTCGCGAAAGAACTATTTGTAGGACCTACATCGAAATCCAACCCTAACAGAACTGGTTGCCAGATGTCTCGTCTCAATCATCACACAAGCTCGGCGCCAGAAGCCCATTTTCTTTCAGTCTTTCACTAGTTCACTACCTACAAGTAGTTCGGAACTATTTCTTTCAATCGTATGTTTAGGTTTAAATGGTTTAAATTATTATACGATTAGTTAGTTTTTAACTGCAAAAAATTATTAAGATTTGTTTTTTATTAACTGTTTTAAATATAAATATGGTTCAAGTATGATTTATTTTTATATTTACGTATATTTAAACTCATAGGTATTTATAATTAGGTTATTTCTAAAAGAATCTTTACAAAAAAAAATCAGTGAATTTTCTAGGAATATAAAATAACACATTTTCATTCTCACTTTTACATAAAATTATATTTTATGTAAATGCCTCAATCATTTTAACCACAACTAAAATTTTTATTTCAAAATTACAATACAAGAAACAACACAGCATGGCAACATCCAAGCCAATACATGGGCATAAGATCCGAACCATTATGACATTAAGATAAGACTTAATGTTATTGTCACATTCATAAGAATTATGAATCTGTTATCTGAGGCTGATCGGCATTTTTTTTAAACTAGTTAGTCCATCCATTCACAAAATAATAAATATATGTTCTAATTTATTCATTCATTATTTTGTTCTTTAGAAGTTGAGACATAATTTATAATGCAACTCGTTCGCAGTGAACTAGTTCTATGAAAATTAATGAACTAGTTCAATTAGTTCAGTTGAAAGAATCGTTCATTAGAACTATTTCAATGGTGAACTACACATCCCTAATGTTATGTAGCAAGGATGTGAGGTTTGATCACTCACTACAAATACTGGTAAATATTTTTGAATTTAAACATTGTTTATTGATTATAAATAACTTAAAATTAACAACGTTGAAAGAAAATAAAAAAGGTTATATATGTATGTTTGTTGGTGACAGCTCCAGTCGATGACAGAATATGGTTCGAAGTTTAGTAAAATATTTTGGAAGTCAGATAAATTTTTACATGTCCATTTGTTCATTTGACAATTTTTAAAACGTTATGGCCTTGATTCCATCAATGTTCATCTAAATAGTTAACTTTTTCTGTCACTGCGATGCTCTCGGATGTTTGCTACTGTCTCCATCACTTGCTAATATTTAGTCATCTTAATCGCATACATATAAGTAGATATTTCTTCAGTATTGGGACCGTGCAAGTTCGGAACAGCGGCACCTGGTGTCGTAAATCATCAAAATTTACTGCGCTTTCATGTTAGATCGAGGTTACCGGATAACTGTCAAGGACGTAGCCCCAAAAAAAAAATAAGAAGAAAAAGTAAGATTGAGGTTATGTCGGTATGTTATTAAAAGGTAAACGTTGTATGTAGTGTAAATACAAATAAATATATTAATAAATTACAGCATTACTGTTAATATGGATGCAATAATAAAAACTGGATTTGAGAAAGTAAATCACCAAATAACTTTTCAACCAAGCACTGACTCAAATGAAAAGAATTAAGAAAAATAAATTACCATAAATATTGCTAATGCATAAATTAGCAGGTTAAGCCCACGTTAATTCTTTCCCTGTAAACTTTTGGACAGCGAATATATGTTAATGCATCTTCAGAAAAACTTGAACTTGATGCATTTTTGTAAACTTTAAAAAAATAAAATTTAAACATTAAACTTGATTTTTGGGTTAAAATGAACTCTAAGTGAGTGTTATGAAACTAAAATTTACACTTAAAAGTGAACTTTTATTTATTATTTATTTCAAACTGACTTTAAATCGGGCGCAAGAATAATGCATAATTTAGGTTATGTTACTTATGCATTTTTATGATATAAATCCACTTTTCTCTTTGTAGTAATTTGTGCTTCGAAGTTGGAAACGAATAAAACTTAAATTGACAATTTTTTGTTGTATTTTTACAATTTATAACACAGCATTTCCTAAATCCCATTTTCTTCAGTGACAGAGGTTTAATAAACAAGGAATATGAAATATGACAATTGACAATATGAATTTATGAAATCTATGAAATTTGCAGTAAAAAATGCAAGATTTCTCCGCTACTCGCGCACGATCGTTTCTCGTATCACATCCAAGTACTTTCACGTCGCCAATAAGTCGCTTTGTTTCAACCCTTTTTGGTTCGCCATTGGAAAACCCAAAATAACTATAGAAGTTCACCTTCAAGAATTATGAGAACTGAGTACCTACAATTTTGAAAATACATTTACAACAGTTTTATTACTGTTTATATATGTTGTAATAAAAACTAGTCTTACTAGGAAAATTAATTTTGAATTTTTGCTTTTCATTTCAGAACCTCAGAAGGTAGAAGAAGGGCAAGACGTAGTCGAACCAGAAACACCTTCTAAAAAACCGGAGGAACCTGAAAAAGTGATTCCTAAAAAAACTCCAAAAACCAAAGCTAAGGAGGAAAAGAAAAAGGCAGATAAGAAGTGAGAGTCTCTAAAAGAAGAAACTGAGAGGTCTGCTTTTTAATATCAGTCTCAGAATACTGAGTCTTATTCTGCAGTCTTCTCAGTTTTACCTTTCAGGGAATTTAATTTAAGTAATATTTCAGAGAAGTCGTACAAGAAGTAGAAGAGACGAAAACAACTGACGCCGGGACCAAGGAGGAGATTCAAGCTGCAACTGAAATGTTGGTAGATGATGAAAAATCTGAAGATAAAGACAAACTTATAGATATAATTGCCGAGCAGGTTCTAAGACATAATATCCTTTATGTAAGTAAAATTATTGTTTTAATGAAGATTTATCAACCAAATATCAATTTTGCTTTTCTGCTATATTGTTTAATTTCAATTGATTTGTGCCACAGTCCGTAGGACTTTGTCTGTAGTAGTATTGATGCTTTTGATTCTGTATTTATTTTTGCATTTCAATAATTACAATTTAAATGGGAATAAGCCACAATTAAAGGTTAAAGTAAGTTTATTGGCGTTTCAATTTCCACTTTGGAAATCGTTCTCAAATTACAAACATTAGTAAATTAAATTAAATTGCATTTCAATATTTCATCAAACACACAATCTATGTCATCACTCTTATCGTTTTTTCTCTGACTTCTTGAAATGCATACCTTATTTCTTAAATACTGTTTTTTACAACTTTTAATGTTGTGGGTAACTTCAAACAAATTTATTCCTTTGTTTCACTGACAAAAGTCAGAGAGCACTGTTCATTATTATCTGTCTATCAAGAAGCTAATTTCCAAAGATTGGTTTATCCAGTATATAACATTTTTCTCTAAGTTTTGAAGACGATTTCTGGGGTGGTATTAATTAAAATTGTGGGTTATTCCCATTAAATATATTAGGTATTGTTTCTACTATTTTCCGTGATATATAGATTATTAGCACTTAATATGAAATTTTGTATTGATCTGTTTTAGGCAACCCATGTAAAGAAGACAGAGTCTTATTATAAAGGTAAGATTTATACAGTATTGTGCGAATTAATAGAATCATAGGCTGTTTTAATGAAAAAACAGTTTATTTAGTAAAAAATTATATTTTGACAAAACTATAAAGGTAAACTTACATCATTCAGTAGGAAATATGTACCTCTTTGGCAGTAATTTCTGCTTTTACCCATTTTGGCATAGATTCTATGAGTTTCTGGCAGTTGTCAGATATCCTTTCATCTCGATACCAAATCTGAATGGCCGCTTCTATCATTTTTGTTTTAGTGGTAATCGATTCACTCGATTTTTCGCAGTCTAGCTTTGCAAATGACCCATAAATTTTCAATCGGGTTGAGCTCGGGCGAATTACCGGGCCAATCTAAAACATTAAACTTATTTTTGAAAAATGCCATCATTTCCTTTGATTTGTGACAGGGAGCAGAGTCCTGTTGAAGAATCGCTCCTCCTTGGGGTTGACATTTTTGGAGTTGTTTGTCCAAATACTTTTCCAACATGGATTTGTATTTTTGGCTGTTCATCATGCCTTCAATTGGCACCAAAGATCCAACCCCCATGTATGAAAAACATCCCTAAAACATTTTCTTGACTGGATGTTTTACGGTTTGATCAATATGAGATGGTGTAAGCTTTTCATTGTCAGACTTCCTGACGAATTTCGACCGTTGTCCCTGAACTATAAAGTGGGTTTCATCTGTAAATAGAACTTTTTTCCAGTCGCCTACAGTCCAATTAGAGTATTTTTTGGCCCACAGTATTTTTTGACCCACTGTTTTTTCTGTGGACGAATTGCCCTTCTACCATTCTCCAAAAGTCTTCTACGAACAGTTGAGTCATGAATCACTATAGCTGATGCTGCTAGATCTTGTTGTAGGTCTTGGCTTTATTTTCTTGGGTCCAATTTGCTCTTTCGAAGTAAAAATCTATCATCTGCTGGTGTTGTTTTTCTCTTTCTTCCACATTTTCCTAACCTTTTCACATCCACTGATCCCGTTTCTCGTTTACGCTTCAAAATTTTGCTTACTACCCCCTGACTCACTCCACACGTTCCAGCAATCTCTCTTTGTGACATACTAGTGTGTTCACTCAACGTGACAATCTTTTCACGCTTCCTAGGCGTAATATCCACGTTGGAATAAAACCAAAAACAACACAAAATAGTACAAAAACCCCCAAAACAACACAAGTTTGGTAAGAAATGACATAAAACACACTCAAACACACCAACACACAGTAAGGTTATGTTTTCAATGCTTGGTCAGCTGTCAACTGTGTAGGTAGTGTTGTCAACTGTGAATATTGAAAAAATGAAAAAAAATTCACAGTGATTCCATTAATTCGCACAATACTGTATATCCATTTGAAAAACATAATGTAAAACTTTGAAAGTTTTAATTTTTATAAATTGGTCCGCTTCTTTGTGATTTCTTTATTATTGTTCAGGAAAAGGAAATCACTTGTTCTTCTTCTTTTATAAAAGTAATTTCGCTTGTTCATTAACGGATTGTTGCCTCTATAGATGATTGTCACTCCATGTCTTGTATGGTCGGCCGATACTTTTACCACTTGGTGCTTTGTCCCTTGCTATTTTAAAAACTCTTGTCTCCTACATTCTGCTGATGTAATTGTTCCATTCTCTTTTCTAAGTAGTTTCCACTCGTTTATACCCTGTAGATTCTATGTCTATATCGGAATTCTTCTAAGTATTCTCATTTCTGCTGTTTCCATCTCCCTCTGGGTTTTAGCTGTGTTGGATTTTGTTTCTGATGTATACGTCATTATTGGTCTAATACTGGTTTTATAAATTCTAGGTTCTCACAGTTAAAGTGTCGGTTATGCTATACTTGACCCTCTTTGTACCTGATCTCCCTAGGTACTTTGTTTCCATTAATTAAATTATTTTGCTCTTGTATTAAATATGTGAACTAGTCTTTGAAGGCTATCGATATTTTTAGCTGTCAATATTGCATCGTCTGCCTAACAACGAATTTTAATTTCAATGTCCCTTATTCTGTATCTTCTTCCTTTATTTATGCTCGTTATGACTTTATCCATGTTTAAATTGAATAGCATTGGGCTTATGAATCTGCCTGTCCTATTTTATTGCCTATATGTATAGGTTCCGTGAGTTGTCCATCTATTCTGACTTCGATCTTCTTGTTTTGATAGACGTTTTTAGTTATATTTATAATATCCAGCGGGGTCTCTTTATTATACAGAGATGTATTACATCAAAACAGATATTATTTTGTAATGTATTACATTACAAAAAAAAAACAGCAACATCACCTGAAATGGTTTGGAAAGTGAATGCTCGACTTGAGCCAAATCCACTTCGTAGTGACAATCAAATGGCCAAAGAACTGAAAATATCGCAGCGAAGCATACAACGAATATTGAAAACGGAGCTCAAGGTTTTACAAGCTCAAGCCTTACAAGTTCTAAAAAGTACACACTCTTACACCAAAGCAAAAAAAGTTCGGCTTGAAAGAGCAAAGGAGTTGTTACGCCTGCACGAACGTGGCGAATTTCTGAACATAGTGTTCTCTGATGAGAAAGATTTCCCTATTGAGCAGTTCTTAAACTCTCAAAATGATCGTGTTTACTTGACCGAACGCACCTATGAAAGTTTGAGCTTACGAACGGCCACCCGAAGTAATTTCCCATCTCAATTAATGGTAAATGGGCCAAAATACCGGAAGATCAAATTCGTGCAGCATGCAACTCGTTTTTTGATCGTTTAAAGGCCATAGTCAAGGCAAAAGTAGCCACATCGAGCTAAAGGTCGTTTATGTTATGACCAAAAATTATGGTCGTTTCAATAGGTAACAGTTCAATTGCGTAACCCTGTATATTATGTTTTTATGGCTTTATAATTTTGTAAATTCGAAAAACAATAAAATGTCCGTTTATTAAAAACCCTTTTAGTAAGAATAGAACAATAAAAAATCCAGGTGTGTAGAAAGGGAAATATGTTCTGACGCGTCGGATTGGCGTTTCAGATATACATGAAGATAATATACAGATTGAACGAATTTAAAACGAATCATACAATTTAATATATGTCTGTTTGAACTGCATTTGAAATAGTGGACTAATATAAAACTTGGACAAAAATAAATCCATACCCGGTGATAGACATTGTATAAAATATTGTTCAACTATTTGTCTCCTTTTAGGACGCACCATAGTCTATAATGCCGCCCAAAGTCAATGTTGCCAATCGCCGTGTAATAATCCGATTTGCGGATCTTTTTGAGAGTTATATCTTCTTCGTATCTTTAAATAAATCGGATATTTGATTATATTTTTCATTGTATTTACCAATCTACTACAACAGGCTAATAACAAAAATAAACTTAATGGTTTGTAGTTATTTCCTGTCTTTCCTGTAAATATTTTATGGTTAACACCTTATTTGAGAAACATCTAGAGAAATGAGATTGGCAACACCGCTCAAAATATCCATCTGACTGCTTAGATAAAAGAAAGAGAGGTTTGCCTAAATCCGGCCCTCACGATACAGCGGCGTTGTTCAACTTCGTCGACTTCGACGAATTGACAAGGATTTTGATCGTGTGTGACCGTGCATCCAATGAAATCGTACAATTTGACCGCACACAGACTGGCCTGTCTGCTGCAGTACTGCAGAGTTGATCTCATCAATTTGTTGAGCGTGTGTTACCGTTTACAATTTGTCGATACTGCAAAAATACATTTTTAACTACACACTTGCTTTGATCATATTATAGAAAATCGATATGGCTTGACTTAGCGAGAATTTTTTAAGAGAGTTTTTTTAATTATATAAAAAACAAGAATGCTTCTGGCGAATAAAAGGTCAAACGTATCACGATAGAATCGCCCGAAAACAGGCAATGGACATTCTAGTTTTAAAGTTCCAAGAAGTAAACAAAGATGCGAATGAAGAGTATGTAAAAAAAATTAACAATTTTAGAACATCCTATAAAAGAGAATTAAAATTAGCATTGCAGTCTAGTAAATCGGGTGCAGGGGCAGACGAGATTTATTTTGCACCAAAATCTTGGATTCTTTGCACCAGAATCTACGTTTTATTTTAGGTTTCTTTTTACGCTTAGTTATACACAAAGTAAGAGACGTCAAAATGATTGTTTGATTTGACATGGTCGAGAAACGAACAATTAATGAGGTGCAGTATGGTGTGTGGGCGCACCAGATATAGGCCGACTTTAGGAAGCGATAGGTGGTTTGACAGCATAATAAAATCCTAAATTTAATGTGTAGCTTTCAATTTTTATACGTGATGGGCGGGGCAACCTATTTAGGTGGAATTTTAACTTGTTCTTGAATGAGTTCAGAGTCCAGCAGTCCGCTGAAGTATTGGATTTTTATAATATAATTATTTGACAACCTTTTGTTGGCCACCCACCTAGAGCGTGGGACACACATATATTTCGTATGTTCCGAATTTAACTCGTTCAATCTGTATACTAAAGGGTCTGATTTATGAAATAATAAAAATGTACATATAAGAAATTTTACAAAACTCAAATTTGTTGTGATAAAGCAAATATAGTAGAGCTGTATTATGTTTTTTCGATAAAGAAATATAGTACAAAGGCGATTTAATAAAGAAATATGTTACCTGTAGCGCGAGGGCGTAAAGCGTTCTTGTAAAGACACGATAACATGCATTTTTAATAAAACATTTTAAATAACTAAAATATTTGTAGGTAAACATGTTTATTGACACAATGGACTACCTAACTCTGACTTCACAATGGACGTGGTTTAAAAAACCTTTCCAAACATTTCTAATTCGTGTGTAGTTAGTTTACTTTCTGTTGTTTGTTATAGAAAGACCAGTAGAACCGCGAGACGACTCTCCTAATCAAATATTACCGGTAACAACACCATCCGGTAATATAGTAGGCATCAGACTTCATATAAAATGGCCGGTAGTAGTTAAAAATGAATTCGAACGAGCCATTTACGATGAAACAGTAGCAAATAGAGTTTTAGGGACTAAGCAAAAAATCGAATCCGGAGAAAGTAAAATCGACACCAATGTTGATTTGATTATTCTTAACATCGGAAAGACAGAAGAAGAAATTAAACAGATATTATATGCGAAGAAGCTTGAAGCGAAGAAAGCGAAAATAGCCATGCTCAATTTGGAAGCTGAGTTACTTAATCTTGATGTTAAGATTAAAAATTGTCTAGGTTTGGATAAGGTAAGTATTATATTCTAGAACAAACTTGTTTTAACTGTTGGTTTGCAAAATCTTTTTGGTTTTTCATTACTTATCATATAGTATAATACCATTGTTTATTATATGCTTGACCAGTGGCGAAGCTTGATGAAAAATTTTGGGTAGACAATTTTAAAGGAGTAATCCTTATTTCAGGAGTGAGGAAAATAAAACAGAATATTTTTTAAATATTTTATTTTTATAAACAAGTAAACATAACAAAAACATGGACACATTTTTTAAAACAAAAAATAAACTTAACTATGTTTTCCGCAAATCGCCAGGAAATTTTGACATTCCTGTCAAAATTTCTTGAAGAAAAAGTCAGGACTTCCTTACTGTAAGGAAATGTCATTTCCTTACTGTAAGGAAATGATATTTCCGTACAGTTGTTAGTGTTCTACATAAATGATAGAAAACACATTGCTTATAAGGAATTAATTTATATTTTGAAAACATCAAGTCATTGCTGAATACATTTTTAAGATCAGTTTGTTATATTTACAGTAATTTGACAGTTAGTACAATTATTGAACATTGGAGGAACACTCTTAGAACTATGAATAACATTTTGGACAACATGCAGGGTGGAAGTGTCATTTTGTTGAATATTTTGAAAAGTGAAAATTTTATTTGCCACCTCAACCTTATTGTTAAGCGATTCTTCGATATATCCTTCAGCAACGTTTGATGACTTCCATCCGCCACGCCTCTTTAAACTAGTTATGTCGGCACCAGAGTCAACCAATATTGTTGCAGAAGACCGACGAAAGCAGTTACCAGTATATTCTGTCGTGTTTACCAAGTTCAAATAAGTAGCAATTATTTTGGGCATTTTTCTAAATTGATGAATTCCTACCACTTGTCTACAACCCTTTCCGCTTTGATATTTAAAGAAAAATCGGTCACTGTTCATATTTTCTGGTCTTAACGAAACATACTTTAGATAAATATTCAAGTAGATCTGATTAATTACAAATGATCTTGGTTTGTTGGTTTTCGAATCAGGTATGCTGATTTAAAGCTTAGATTCTAAGTCTTCTATATCGTGTACAGTCATTTGGACTAACTCATCCATTCTACAGGCCCCAGAAATACCAAATATTACAGCCACCTAAAAAATAAATAAAGCTATAATCTAAATAGAAATTAAAACCTTGTAAATTACCTTAATCATTAAATTTTCTTTATCTGGAGCTTCCTGGATAAATTTTTCAATTTCTTCCTTCGTTAAAATCTTAGATTTCTTTGCCCTATAACCTTGAGCTTGTCGTTTCAATAAAGAACGAAGTTTTGAGTATGTAGATATATCTATATCCGATCTATAAGTGCAAGGGTTGACTTCAGCATTGAATAATTGGCCCATAATGTTGAAGATTTCATCTTTAAACAAAGGTCTTGGAAGTATGCCATTACAACATTTTCTGAGAAAGAACTCGTATTTTTACTCATGCGATAATCCATAAAACGTCTGTATGCATTTTCGTACTTTTCTCTTGATTTCTTTGGCAATAATTCTAATGAAGCAGTATTCACTGCCTCAACCAGCTCTGGAGGAGTCCCAGGAATGGAAATTTCATCATTACTTATCATTTTACTTTCGAGAACACCAGCAATTAAATTTATAAGCGTCAAGTTTGACAATTCAACCTCAATACGTTTCCATAGTAACCTAAGTAATTTTATTAGGAATTTCAAAGCACCATTTATTTGGGAATAAAATTATCGCGTTTTTTTTTAAATCAATCAATATCTGTCGAATTTTAAACGATTTGCGGAAAAAATAGTATGTTTACCTCGTAGGAAAAGCCACATTCCTGGACTCTGTGTTGCTAAGTGTCGGCTTGCGCCTCGACTTAGCAATCTTCACAGTCGTCCAGGAATGTTAAGCTTTTCCTACCCTGTAAACAATGTACTATTATTCGCTAAACAATAAATATTAAATTTTTTTTATATGTATATTAAGTCAATTTTTCTATTTTTAGTATTAGCAAAATAGTCAATAACTTGTTCTTTCATTTCTGGAGTAATTGAGTGCACCATATCCTTTTCAATGCTTAAAGTGGATAATGAGGAAAGTAAAGCAGTAGTCATTGAATTCCGCAAATATGTTTTAATTCTTTTTAAAGTACTCATAGATCTTTCAGATAATTCCGTTGTTACAGGAATGGTCAAAATAATTTTAGTAACTGATAGCATTCAGAAAATACTTCTGTTAACTCGTTGTCAAAAATATATGAAAAAAGATGGCAAGGTTCTAAATGTTTTTGTTCATCTAAATAAATTACAATCAACTCGTTTTCTAATTATCTCATATCAAAAGTTTCAGGATATACTTTATCTAGAACAAACAAGAGATTTTTTGGAAATTGTTTATTATAATTTACGAAACTGTTTTTGTTTAGTAAGTTGACGAAAGAGAGTAAATGGGTGTCTTCGATTCTTTGTTGTAATTGCATACAAATTGCATCCAGTATTTCAAAACCTATTGTTTTACATTTTTTTACTGTGTTAACATCAAGAGTTGTTTGAAGTATATTGGTGCACTCATTTACGCATATTTCAATTGTATTATCATTTCTCAGATTTTTAATATTTTGTGTCATTTTATGTATTTCTTTGACACATAAGGCTACATCAAATCAAATAGAGGTGGTCTGTAGAAATAAAAAGTTTTGTAAAAAAGACGTAACATAAGCACAAATTTAGGATTTATTAAAATATTTTTAATACCAATTGCTAAGTTGGTACTCTCTAAACTAATTATTTCTGTGACAGCCAGTAATTTTTGATAATATTTTGTCAATTCCATTCCAAAATTCCATTTAGTTTCAACAGCACGTGGCAAAGTAAACAACATTTTACGGAATTCTGCCATTCTTAACGGAGATCTACTAAAAAATGTATGAAAAGCAGATACGTTACAAATAAAAAGTTTTATATCGTTAACTTTTTTAACCATATTTATTGGTTCATAACAATGGTGCTATAACAATGGAACTATATTTAATTGGTGTTCATAACAATGAATAAAAATGGCACGAGGACAGGTTTCTTTAATTTTAGTTTGAACGCCACCTTTGGCGCCCGACATTACACTACAGCCATCATATGTTTGGCATATTAATTTTTCATTTTTTATCTCGTTGGAATGTAAAACGTGAATAATTTTTTCTGCAAGACCATTTGCTGTTTTATCACTAGACATGTCATAAAATCCCATAAAATTTTCATATGTCTTTTTTGTACACATACATTACACTAAACTGGGATTTGCAGAATACATCAGTTGTTTCATCAGCCTGAACAGATATAAAGTCCGCTTCTTGCAAATCTTTAAAACTTTTCAGTCTGATAATACATTCCACCGATTCTATCAACTGATTTTGAATTTTAGATTCTTCCAGAGCAAGTAGATCTAACAGTTAAAAATAATTTCCTACAAATATATCAAATATAGTTCATGAAAATTCTAAAGTCGAGAGTATTTTATAATAAAATATATTTTCGCAATAGTAATGTGGTTAAAATTTGGTAACTTCTACTAACCTTTATCTTTTGATGCACCAGTTTCATCATATCCTCGAAAAGCCTCTTCTAAGGCTACAGCCATATAAGGCTACAGCGTTTTTTCGAGCCCTCTCCAATCTAAACCAACACTTCTACTGTGACCTCTCTGCCTCCAAGTCCATTTAACACTCATATTTTCACATTCAAAAAGAGTATACTCTGCATAGATTTTTATACACTCCTTGACAATGAACACACATGTCAGTATCCTTGTTAAGTTGTTGGAGTTAAAATCCCCGTGAACACCTGAGTCAGATAATAGTTGATTTCACCGTATTTGACCCATATCTTGAAGTTAGTGATAAGATGCCGGTTCCAGTCAGCCTTCTCCCCCTCTCATTTTCCCCCAAGTTATAACTCCTAAACCTTCACACAATACAGTCACTGCAAATGTGATAAGTACCTTCCTGTGTAGCCCTCTAATTTTTGAGGCATGCTTCAAAGCATCAAAAATTCTGCTGTACATTCAACTCAAGCTCTCATTCACCACAACCTGCACCTACTTGTGTCATTTAAAGAAAATGGTCCTACATATATCACCACCCTGTTAAATGGGACATTTGCTTAAGGATCCTGCCTTTATCTCTTAGAGTCTGTCTTGGGTTCTCACTAAAGATAAAACGTGTGAAAGATCATATTGTGAAATATTATTAGGTTCAATTAATTTCTGAATATCTTATCACCAGCTATAATTATGCTGTATCGTTCTGCAGTAGTTCTCGTGTGTCGTTTAGTTTTGGGCGAATGGCGAAAATGTAAACAAAAATGGTGTCCGATCCTTTTGTAGGCTGTCAATTTTATATTGAGGCTACTCCATGACACTATGACTTCCAAGATAAAACCACTTCGCAATCGAATTTTGTACGTCGATGCGCATGACGTCACTTGGCCATAAAAGTTTATCTTTAATTTAATATTCTGAAATATATTTTGTATAAAGTGCACACATTTATTTGTCAACGTACTAGATAATCGATAAAATAATACTAAATCTGACTAAACTCTATGCAAAACAGAACATTTCTGGTGATATTTGTCGCCAAGTGACGTCATACGTGCAAAAGAGATAGACTGATCGCGTGCGCGTGGGTTTATCTTTAGAAGTTCATAGCATCATGAGGCTACTCTGTGTTTAAATGTTAGTTAGTAAATATAGTAGGTAATGAAATTATACCAATTATACTTAAGCATGGCTTCATATTAAAAATAAAAGCAATTAGCAGTGTCCAATTAAAATTGTTCAAAATTTGCTACTGATTTTGGTCATAATCACGTTTTTTACACATCCACCATTAAACAGGGTGTTTCTATTCAAGCTTTCATCTTTTTTCAAATGTTTTACTTTTCTCAAGTGAGTATTAATACCACGTTATCTTTTATTAAGTCAAAATTTTACCCTTCAAATTAAACTGAAATTATTTACTTTATAAGTGCTTTACTGTGATCTGTAACCAGCCGTGGTGTTTGTTTACATACTTGACCCATCCGCAATTTTTCCTACTTCTACAAATTCTTCCAGTTTAGTCATTTTGCCGTCAAATTGAATTTTGTTACTTTTTAGGCTGATCCCAAGGAAGCAATTGGGTATTTAGAAGATATGTACAAACTTAATTTTGATGACATCGTATTAAAAAAGCATCTCCATATCGTCGAAATGGTAAGGAGGTTACGTAAATATGTCGGGAACACGAAAGAATGGAAGATGAATGATGAAACTTTGACTGAATTTACTAAGCAGGCCGAGACTGTTAGGGAAATGGCAGAGAAAGTTTATGGAAAATTTAAGGTACATTTTTTGCATATATAACTAATAACAATCAAATGTATTTTCTACCGTTGAAAAGCTCCTAATAAAATTTTTATATTACTAATATTTTTTAGCAAACTGTTAAATTAAATGATAGTAGCACGAGCTTTTTTGAAGGATTCGCCGAATTAGTAACTCGATTCAGAGCAGACTGTAAAGAATTAGAACTTAGTGAAGCTGATATTTTCGGACTAAGTTCTGAACCAAGTAAGTAAAATTAATATGCTATATATATATTATGATGATATATACATACAGTGCTTTTCAGATAAAACTATCCACCTTAAATAACTTTTGAACCCCTAATTTTTTGGAAAAACGCAAAAACACTTTAATTAATATCTGAAGGGGGAGGCATAATATCATATTTAAGGTTGCTGGAAAATCTATCTCACCCCTTGTATCAATCCTTTATTTTTTTTTAATTACTTCCCCCTTTTTTTATTTTATATTTGGATTCTCCTTTTTGTACTGATTTCAGAAATGTATAATACATGATACTTGAAGTGATTAGTTTATGAGAAAAGTAAATACAAAAGCAAGAAAATTGGATAGAAAAAAAATTATTTTTTAACAATTTTATTACACACATTTAGAACAAACATTTCACTACTAAAAATTTTTACAATAATTGTTCAAAATGACTGCCTTTCACTTCCATACAATAGTACAATCTATTTTGAAATTCTTCTCTGACATTGCTTAACACGTCTGCATTTAATTGTCGACATTCATCCTCTATTCTTTGTTGTAAATCATCTAGATATTCTAGTTGAGTAGCATAATTTTTGTTTTTAAATACTCCCATAAGAAGAAGTCTAGGGGTGTTCAATCCGGTGACCTAGGTGGCCAATCGATCATCTGTCGTCTTTTACCTATCCAAGGACCGGAAAACGTTTCGTTTAAAAATTATCGCACAGGTAAAGCAAAGTGTGGAGAAGCTCCATCATGTTGAAATACAACCAAATCATCGGAAAGGTTATCATCATTTGCTACTATTGTTCTAACGATCAACCACTTGCCTGTATAATTCAAGATACTTTGCACCATTTAAGTTTCCAGTGATAAAGAAGGGTCCGATAATGTGATTACGTAGGATACCACACCATACGTTTAACCTTTGAGGATGCTGTGTGTGAAATTCGCGTACAATATGTGGATCACTCTCAGCCCAGTATCGGCAATTATATCTGTTCACCAAACCGTTTAATGAGAATGAGCATTCATCCGAGAAGCAAATATTGTTTAACAATTGTGGATTGTTAATGATGCATTTTATCATTAATTCGCAACATTCGGAACGACGATCAAAATCTTCTTCATTTAACTCTTGTACTAATTTAATTTTATATGGATAAAACTTAAATTTATGGAGGACTCTGAAGGCTGTAGAAGATGAAAACACCGATTGCTCTGCTTATTGTTGACAGTGACTGTGATTATTAAGAGTCTAAGTTAACTTGCCCTAAAACAGCTACTTGGATTGCTTTTTTATTTACAAGTTCCTGTCGGTTATGTTTTTTATTGCAAACTGACCCTCTTGATCTAATTTTTTCTGCATCAGTTCAATCACACACTTATGAGTTGCATGTCTATTGTGGTGTGTTTCATTAAAAATTCTAGCAGCAGCTCTTGCACAATTATTATTTTTGTAGTATAAACCTACAATTTCGATTCTTTCTTGCAAAATGTACACCATTTCAGCGATCAAATTGCACACGTATCAAAATAAGCTGTTACTTACAAGTTATAACAAATTGTCGCTATTAACCGATTAAAACAAATGTAAAAATGATATCGAAAACCTTTGATAAAACTTGAATAAAAAGTGAATTTTTTTGTTTCTTGGTTTTTAAAGGTACTACAAATAGTACGGTTAAATATTTAAAGAGTTTAAATTATGCTACAACCTATTTTGTTAGAGGCAATTAAGGTGATGGAGATACTGTCTTGTTAACAGGAAAATTGTCTATCTGATAAACTAATCACTTCAAGCCAAAGGTATTATACATTTTTGAAATCGGAACAAAAAGGAGAAACCAAATATAAAACAAAAAAAGGGGGAAGTAATTTAAAAAAAATAAAGGGTTGATACAGGGGGTGAGAGGGTGCATTTTCCAGCAACCTTTAATATGATATTATGTCTCCCCCTTCAGATATTAATTGACGTGTTTTTGCGTTTTTCCAAAAAATTAGAGGTTCAAAAGTTATTTAAGGTGGATAGTTTTATCTGAAAAGCACTGTATATACCGATATGGCAATTTTTCAACTACTATTTACGTTATTCAGTATGCAGAACAAAGATAACATCTAATTGTTTGAATACGAGTGAGACACAATCCACAAATGTTGGAGTAGTCTAACTTTTAAATAGTGTTGCAAAATTTCTGTTACATCATTCCCTCTACATAACACATGAGCGGAACATAATAGGTTTGTTTTGTACGGTCCGGAAACCGTCACGAAACTACTTGTACCGTTTTTAATGTGCATGTTCATCATTTGGATCGTCTGATCACGGTAATTTGGAAACTGATGTTGGAACGATTTTCTGTCAGAAAATTTGGTGACAATCTATCTAAATAATTCTAGTTTTTCACCCTAGGTTCGGCTAATAGCTCCAAATCATCCTCACTACTATAATAATCAGAAAAATTACCAATTCCTTCGTCGTCAGTCATATTTATAAAGTTATAAATAACGAAAAACAAATACAGAGTGGCCCAAAAGTCTGGAAACGGCTAATTATCTCGTAAATTACTAGACATAAATATACAAAATTTGAGATACGCTCATTTTGGGATAAGGAGATTCCATATTTGGTATTTGCAATGTTGCCAGATTTTCAGTTTCTCTTATATTACTAGTAACTTTGGTTTTTCAAATGCATCACCCTGTATATTCAGTCATTATTGGAATCAATATAAGGTTGAATGTTCGAATAAATGAACTTTGATGGTACACAAGGCAAATATCGAACACAGTATTTAATTAAATCTTGCCCAAGTACTTTCGATCACAAGATCATCCTCAGGGGCATTTCGTCAATTGTGGCCTATCCAGCAATAATCGAATGTCATACATGTAAACTGGGACATAACAAATACACTAAAGACAAACAAACACTTTAAAATTTAAATTGGAGAAGCTACATTTTTATATTATAGAAGCCGGAGACAGAATGGCTCCTAGCCTGGCGGAGGCGGAAATATTGGGGTGTTATTTCCCCAATATTCACCCCAATATTTCCGCCTCCGCCAGGCTGGGAGCCATTCTGTCTCCGGCTTCTATAATATAAAAATGTAGCTTCTCCAATTTAAATTTTAAAGTGTTTGTTTGTCTTTAGTGTATTTGTTATGTCCCAGTTTACATGTATGACATTCGATTATTGCTGGATAGGCCACAATTGACGAAATGCCCCTGAGGATGATCTTATGATCGAAAGTACTTGGGCAAGATTTAATTAAATACTGTGTTCGATATTTGCCTTGTGTACCATTATTGGAATCTCCTATTAAATACGAGTTCAACCATATGTAACACTTATGATTTTATGTAGTCTGGAAGATCTTAAATACATAAAACAGAAGTCTCCATTTGTGAGTTGACAGCACTCTAATCGATGGTAGAATGCGTCTACCACATTTCTCCATGATTGTCTAGAAATTATTCGAGATTCATCGATAATTCATTGCCTTAGCTATGCAAGACTTGCTGGTTAAGTTTTGTAAACTGAATTTTTCAAGTATCTCTAATAAAAATAATCTTTAGGATTGAGATCGGGTGAACGTGGAGGCCATTCAATTCTACCTTGTCTACCAATTTATCGTCCGGGAAATATCTCATCTAAATAACGCCGAACATTTACACCAACTGTCTGACGTTAAATTTCTTTCGATAAAAAATGGCCCAATTAAATAAGTACCTACTATAACTGACCATACATTTAATTTTTGTGGTCTTTGAGTATGGTTTTCACGCATTCAGTGTGAATGTCACACGAGTTCAGCTATTCAATATGAGTTCAACCATATGTTCACTTGATTTTATGTAGTCTGAAAGATCTTAAATACATAAAACAGTGCAAAATATGTAGATTTTAATAAATTTAAATATTTAAATGGGGAATGCTGTGATTTTGACATTTGTTCACCATTTAAATTATGAACTAAATTGACAGTAGTTGTGGTTCAAAAAGTTCTGCAATTTAAATTGCTTCTCTAAAATGCCGTTCTCTAAACCGTTCTCCTATTCATAATACGACGGTACAAAAAACTGTAAGACAATTTGAGGAATCTGGAGAAGTAAAAGATAGATACCGATCAGGTTGACCGAAACGAGTTATCAATGACAACAAAACTTCAGATATAAGCAAAGTTTTGTTGAAGATCCACATACATCCCCAGGCATGGTTGCACAAGTGCATGATGTAGGTCATTCTTCAGTCTTACGTTTATTACGTAAAAATAAATTTAAATCATACAAAATTGCAAGAATTAAGTGAAGATGACTTTGGTCGTAGATTAGAGTTTACTGAGGTAATGAGGGATAAAATTGAAAATTATTAAAATTTCGTTAACAGAATATGTTTTTACGATGAAGCAACTTTTACACTGTGTGGAAGTGTAAAGCGACACAATTTAAGGTACTGGTGTGACGTAAATCCACACTGAAGACTGAATGCGTGAAAGCCATACTCAAAGACCACAAAAATTAAATGTATGGTCAGATATAGTAGTTACTTATTCAATTGGGTCATTTTTTGTCAAAAGAAATTTAACGTCAGATAGTTGGTGTACATGTTCGGCGATATTTAGATGAGATATTTCCTGTAGACATTGGATATCAAATTGGTAGACAAGGTAGAATTGAATGGCCTCCACGTTCACCCGATTTCAATCCTAAAGATTATTTTTATTAGGGATACTTGAAAAATTCAGTTTACAAAACTTAACCAGCCAGTCTTGCAGAGCTAAGGCAACGAATTATCAATGAATCTTGAATAATTTCTAGACTATCATGGAGAAATGTGGTAGACGCCTTCTATCATCGATTAGGGTGCTGTCAACTCACAAATTGAGCACATTTTGAACACTTAATAACGTAACTACTATGTTAAAAAATGTTCTAAACTATCAATTGTTACATTTTAATGTATTTGAAAATAGTATTAAAAAATTTATTGAAATAATTTAGGCGTTGCCAGACTTCGGTTTTATGTTTTTATGACCTTCCAGATTACATAAAATCATGTTACATATGGTTGAACTCGTATTGAATATGAGATTCCAATAATGACTGAATGTACAGGGTGATATATTTGAAAAACCAAAGTTACTAATAATATAAGAAAAACGGCAAATCTGGCAACATTGTAAATATCAAATATGAAATCTCCGTATCCCAAAATAGGTGTACGTCAAATTTTGTACAATTATGATTAGCATGTTACGAGATAATTAGCCGTTTCCAGACTTTTGGGCCACTCTGTATATAAATAAATAACAAGTCTATCATAAGCACCTGATAAAATCATTAACCTAACTTCTTTTTTTCTGAACAAACTTGCAGTTTTAATATAAAATCTAAGTTAATTTAGGCCCAAGAAATTTAAAGAAGTAGAATAAAATCCTATTGCGCAAGTCATCCAAACCAGTACATGCATTTGCCAGATTACTGAAATTATCGTCACGAAACCGTCACAGGGCAATCGCAATTTTTGTTGGAACGGTCGGAAGGACGATGAGATGAACGATCATATTTTTGTTGGAGCGTATTTTGTTTAGTGCGCAGGAGTGTAACCGTTACGTGGCGGTTTTTCGTTGTGTTGGAACAAACCTAATATTTAAATCCACTACACTTCATTGTAGCATGAAAATTAATATTGCCCCAACAAAACTTATATGTCATTACTTGATTAATTAACAAAGAACACTGAATTGAGATATTGATATGTGATAACAGGCTGTGTTCTTTCTCAAAAGAATAGGCGGTGCTTATCTGTACAGCAGATTTATGGCCTATCTATTTTAGCTGTGGTGGTAAAAGGCTGAAAACAAATAGTTAACATGCCAAGCGTATATTTTCAAGAAGAAAATATTCAAATGGTGAAATGGTATTATGGGAACCATTCTATTGTAGAAATAATACAGTTATTTATTGTTGCTTTTGAAAATCACCCAATTCCGACAGAGAAAACAGTACGATCAATTATTAAAAACTTTGAAAATTTCGGTTGGATAAATACTTGTATGAAATGTCGTCCAATGGATCAACCACGATCGAAACAAATCTCTGTTTATATTCGAAACTAGAAATTTTTCCAGGCGATCATTTTAAACGTATGGATTTTTGTAAAATTATTATGGAGAAATCGAATGAGAACAATAACGTTTTAAAAAATGTTTTGTTTTCCGTTGAATCTTCATTCATAATCCATAAACGTCATAATCCATATGTCGTCCGCTATAGGTCTAGGGAAAAAACATTTGAGTATTGCTGTGAAAATACAATACCCAAAGAAATTAAATGTGTGACTGGACTTCATAACGATAATATAATTGCTCCATTTTTTATTACGGGAAATCTGAATTGACGTATGTATCTAGATTTATTACGCATTCAGATTATTCCAGCAGTTCAGCATGATGTCTGGTTTCAACAGGATGGTTGCCCAACGTATAAGGCAATTGAAGTTTCAAATTATTTGGAACAAATATTCCCCGGACTATTAATTTCGACACTAGGAACAATAAAATGGCCCCCTAGATCACCAACTTTAGCACCTTTGGATTTTTATTTCTGAGGAGTGCTAAAATCAAAATTATATCGGCATTAATTCGAACTAGCCACCAATTGAGCAGAATTACAAGAAAAAATTGTTCAACTCTAGTCGGGTACAGACAAATCAGCTGAATGCAGGGAGACTTGCTTTAGTTGATAGATTCAGATTTTGTTTAGCGCAAAATGGTGATTTGTTCGAACATTTAATTGGTTAGACTTTAATTTAATTATTTAGAATAATTTTTTTTAATGATTTTTCTCTTATAAAAATAATATTTATGTTCTGTTAATGCTAAGTTAATTGTTTTATTTCCAAGCTACCACGGCTAAAAATCTACAAGAATTGCATTTAAAAGTCGAATATAAGTGTCCTCGTCAGTGTCTGATTACTGAATGCCTGATAGCTAGATGTATCTTGGCGCCCCACACTGTGAGGGAAGACGTTGCTGAAAATTTTACAACTCGTCAGGGAAATAATGCGTTGTTGCTACACATCAATTCGTTAAGTCAATGTTGTTTGTTACCTAATTAAATAATTGATAGAATCGATAAGAAAATAACAATTACATGGCTACTTTATTTAAGTTTAAATATATTTAAAAAATAATCATTGATGCCTGAATTCTCCATCGAAATACCTTTCTAATGATGTACCACACATGGTATATTCCTTATTTAAAATTAAAGTTTTGTGGTACAAATGCTCACAAATGACAGACATCTATATCGTTGTCAAGATATCTTTGAATTAAAAATCGACCTTTTTGGTACTTTCACAAAATCTAATATTGCCAAGTTTTCCTTAATAGACCTCAGATGTTCACACCTTTTTGTTTTCTTTCTCCAATATTTTAATTGAATCATCAACGTTAGGCAATGTTGCCTGAACACAGAGAACAGATCCCAATATGGAAGTCTGATTCAATTAAGGACTCGCAAAAAATAATAAAAAAAAATTAGTGCAAACACCAATTCTCTGGAAAGTAGTATTGTAGTTGTACATAAAAAAAAGTGGTATATCCCTTATTATTACAGGATATAAAGTATTTTCCCTAATTATATTGGAACGATTTGCTGACTGGTTGGAATATCAAACAGAAAATTATCAGTATGGGTTTAGCATAAATCAATCAAGAGAATATCAAATCTTCAGAATTAGACAGTTATATATTGGGAAGAAAACAAAACATTGCAAAAGATATTTATAGATTTTAAGCAATTATAAGAATGAGGACAGAACTGAGCACTTTATCACAAGTCAAAAAATTGCGATATTACGCTGTATAAATAATTATGTTTTAAAATAATTTAAATAATGTTTAAATAAATATTTTTTATGTCTTTTCTTTTTTAGAATCTCGTGCTGCGTTTATTAACAGACTGGAGGAGAACGAGAAGGTAAGAAAGTCAATTAATATTTAAATGAAAAGATCACTTGCATATAGATCATTGTAAATGAAACAACAATAAAAATATGAAAAGGCTCTTCAGAAATTATAACTAATTTTGGAGTAATATTTATATATTTTTAAAACAAAGGATTATGTATATCCATTTTGTATACAAAATGCCAAAAGATATTCCATAAAAAATATTGTACTTTCTATCCATAAATTTCCAAATATTTAAGCAATTTTGAAAACTGCATATACATTTATGAACGTGATTTTCCAATTTGTGGAAACTTACAGATTGTCCAATAACAGCTACAGTAAATAATAAATATATAAACTTTAGTAATCAGAAGTAAAAGTGTTTTATTGCGTATAAGCAAATATAGCATTTTTCATATAAAAACGATTGCACGTCATTCAAGATTCACGACGTCAGAACCTTACAGCGTTGCCAAAACATCAGAATAGTTAGTAAGTGAGGAATTTTAAAATGTCTAACAGTAAATACTCTTAGTTTTAAGACTACTGCAACACACTAAAATACATAAGAAAACATTTTAATACAAGATTATATATTCTAAATTTTGAACTTACCTATTTTACTGTACAGGTGTGCTTATTAGTTCTTTTAGAGGAACTAGTTCAACAGAACTATTTCACAAAAATGAACTAGTTCGCGAAAGAACTATTTGTAGGACCGACATCGAAATCCAACCCTAACAGAACTGGTTGCCAGATGTCTCTCTCAATCATCACACAAGCTCGGCGCTGGCCGCCCGTTTACTTCGGTTTTCAGTCAGTCTTTCACTAGTTCACTACCGTACAAGTAGTTCGGAACTATTTCTTTCGATCGTATGTTTAGGTTTAAATGGTTTAAATTATTATATGATTAGTTAGTTTTTATTTGCAAAACATTATTAAGATTTGTTTTTTATTAACCGTTTTAAATATAAATATGGTTCAAGTATGATTTATTTTTATATTTACGTATATTTAAACTAATAGGTATTTATAATTAGGTTATTTCTAAAAGAACCTTTACAAAAAAAAATCAGTGAATTTTCTAGGAACATTAAATAACACATTTTCATTCTCACTTTTACATAAAATTATATTTTATGTAAATGCCTCAATCATTTTAACCACAACTAAAATTTTTATTTTAAAATTACAATACAAGAAACAACACAGCATGGCAACATCCAAGCCAATACATGGGCATAAGATCCAAACCATTATGACATTAAGATAAGACCTTATGGTACTGTCACATTCATAAGAATTATGAATCTGTTATCTGAGGCTAATCGGCATTTTTTTAAACTAGTTAGTCCATCCATTCACAAAATAATAAATATATGTTCTAATTCATTCATTCATTATTTTCTTCTTTAGAAGTCGAGACATAATTTATAATGCAAATCGTTCGCAGTGAACTAGTTCTATGAAAATTAATGAACTTGTTCAATTAGTTCAGTTGAAAGAATCGTTCATTAGAACTTTTTCGATGGTGAACTACACATCCCTATATTTTAGGGCTTTGATAGTAAAAACGTCCCGCCATTATTTCTTGTTCAAAATCTATCTTATATGACAGCTTACCATCTTTCTACAGACTATTTATTTGTTTTGTCATAGCACAATGACAATACACAACAATAATTAATTTTTAAAGCTATTAATCTAAATTTAGTATATATTTATAAATACAATTTATTAATATATTTTATATTATGATCAAATTGTCTAAGAAATCAAAACAAACAAAATTCTTACTCTTACTAGGCAACACTTCAAACAATTTTGCCACACGCTGAACTGTCAATAAAATTTGAAGTATTCCCGTATCAGTTGCGTACAATTGTCTAATCTATTTAATTAAAATTATTATTTTGTGGAATATTAATAAGAGTTATTTAAAAAAATTTATATTATTATAATAACAAATGTTTTTGGTTACTTAATCAATATAATTCCAAAATTTCCAATATAATGATGATTACATGTTTCTGATTATTACACCATGTTGACGCCTATGAAAGATCGAGCAGTTCCGTATGGGTTTCATATTATTAGCTGTGTTAGGAAAATTTGAACTTGAAGGTTGACGTTCTGGAAATTTTAAATATGTGACGTCACTTTATATAAATTGTGACGTGCAACGTTTTTACTTTGAAAAATGGTATATACTCGTATGAGTTATGACACCGAACAACCCGAAGGTGCACTTGATTCGGCGGGAATCGTTCGCGCATTGTTAGCGGCCGTGTTTTAGTTTTCAGTCACGTCGTTGGCACGATCATTTTGTGTTTGTTGTTGTCAGATCTATAGGTGGTTGATCCAAGTATTTTTGTGGATCAGGTCAAACTGATACGCGTAAAATGCCTGTTCCAAATACCTGTTAAAAAATAATGGTTTGGAAATCAGTTTTTAATAGATATCTAAGCATAACGATTACATTATTTGTATTTTGTTAGATTTCTTTATAGTTATTAAAATGACTGTTTAACTTCAAATACTTAAATTACTGTTATTCAGAGATTGCATAAAAAGTTCATAAAAAATGGCGATAGTCTTGCTACTATACGCCAATTGCCATCTGTTGATATTTCTCTAAAGCTTTATAAACGTTAAGAAATGCACGGGAAAAATTAAGGACAAATGCAATGAAACAATTAAATTGTTATTTATTTTTCATGTATATTGGTTGAATAGTCCACTGATCGACAAGCTTTTACAATTTCTTAATGAATATGAATAACAACAAATGAAAACGCATAACATGATTATAATAAATTATAAGACTACTACATGAACAAGTAAAAAATAAATATTTGCAAATAAAATTTTATATATTTAATAATATATCTATTTTTGACAATGGTCGCATACCCGTTTATATTGTTGTTAGGGATCAGTTCCGTAAGTATAAATAAAATATCTGTTCCAAAGTAACTGGTACGGGATCAGGTCACCATCTCTAGTCAGATCACATTATTTGTTTCGTTAATAATTTGATTTTGTGCAATCGTAAATACTGACATCCTTCCAAAAAAAAGGCGCAAGGTCACCGAATTTGACTGACAGCTACCAATGTAAATTTATCGGAGTGCATCTTCGGGTTGTTCGTTGGTTATGATTATAAAAAACTAAATAGAAATCTACCTCAGGGCTCCATCATCTTGATCATTTTGTTTATTCAGTGTTATATATGATTTTCAGAATAATACTTTATTTTTACTATTGTTAAGGACATTGGTGAATTCAAGATCGAAGAGCTTTGATCCTCGTAAACGGTATTATTCATACAAAATTAGTAAAACGTTATAAGATGTTTAGATGCAGAGTACAAATTTTATCAAACTAAATTGAAAAAAAATGTACATACAAAAATTAACACAACAAAATTCAAATAAAGAAATAACTTTTGAGCTGGGTAAAAATAATGTGTTTTCAATTTTTAGGATAGTACTGATGGCGCGAACGATGCCGAAAAAGAAAAGGTAGTAAATGGAAATGCAGAGGAAGAACAAAAAAGTTAAAAGTTTCCCGATGAAGAAGATGTTGTATATATAATTTTGAGGTGCGATTTTGTTCGTTTTAAGGCTTTTTTATCAAATTGATATCAGAATTATGTACATACGGTTTTCCTTTTCTTACATCATTTATTTATAGAATTTGACGTATTTGAGATATATTTTTAATAAATAGTAATACGTATATAGATTTGTTTTATATTTTACCTGTCAAATACTCATAATAAAATAAAAAGAAGAATGCATTAAAATAACAAGTTTCCATAAAACAATATCAAAAGCTCTACTTGTAATTGATCAATGAATCATGATACTACAAGTTTGAAAAATGAAGTTATTGGAATTATTTTTAAATGTAAGCACAGATATGAAAAATTTCACAGTAAAGAAAAACGAGAAAGTGAATACTGTAATGTCATTTACTAACAAAAAACGACATTTAAGAGCAGATTTAATTTCAAAAAACGGAAAATTCGCCTCAAACTTTGAAAAGTAGATTGGTAAAATTCATTTAACACCTCAAAACTGATAAACCAATTCGTCATAATCGCGAAGGACCATTTAGTGATGATACCAAGCGGGAGAAATTATACTTGCTGCCATCTCAAAGAAAACGAAGTTCAAATTGGTGCAATCTCATCGAAAACTTGATCCAGAATGGTAGACCTACGTCGAAACTATTGAACAATCTTAGTCAAAACCTCTCTGAAAAAACTACGTTTCCCAAAGGTTTTAGCAAATCAAGTGGCCTAAAAAATGGCAGAACACCTAGAAGGAAAAACAGGAAAACTCAAATGGGAGAGGATGGAACAAGTTAGTTAAGCGAACCTTTCAATGATTACGTTATGAAAGTAAACTCTGTTCGCTAATCCCAGTCCGAACTGTCTAGTGATTTTAGTAATTATATTTTTACGAAGTTAGTTACTTTTTGACAGACTAGAAGTGGCTGGAAATTACTATACAACCAAGCATACGTGCTCATAGCGCATTTCAGTAGAGTATTTCGTCGACCTTTTTGCAAACTTATACTATGACTTAGAAATTTATAGCAGGTATGAAGAAAGTAAGTTTCTATTATATATAAAAATATATTTTATAAAAAAGTTAGGGTAATTTAGTTTATATCGTTAGGTTGCGCCAAATGTAGGCAACCAACTTAAACTTTTCCAACCGTATGACCTTGGTTAATCTAGCTTTCATCCAAATAATATATTTTGCGTATTTCTTCTAAATATTTTCTTCTCCATGCAATAATTTCATTTGCATACTTTTTCTGTTGCGTTTTACATATCGAAAGTTCATTTCGCGCATGGTCCTGATTAAGACTCTATGAGATATCTTTGGGTAAAGAGTCATCGTTTTCGAGCTCTTTTTTCAGTGTTGGAATTTCACTCCGAAAATAAATTGAATGAATTTTTCGACGTATAATATTCCTTGTCTCGTCATCCAAAACAATGCTTTTCCTACCTCTAGTTTTACCTTTTTCTTGCTTTTTATTTTCCGATGTTTTTTTAAGTACACGATAAATACAGCTAACGGATACTTTTATTAAACTGCTACAAATGTCGACCGCTTGGCTAATATTTAGTGCCATTTTCTGCCGACAATTTAGAATGTTCGTGGTTCCAATCTAAACTTCATGCATATTGTATTAATTTGTATTGCATCCACTCTACGTCCACAAAGTAAAGAAAATCAAATTTAACCTCAAATTCTAATCACAGTACATAGCCCTCTAGTAAGGAAAGTCCTATAGAAAGATTTGGAAAAGAGTTCCTAGCGCCAAATGCGGACGGGCCAAAACTAATTTCATTTGGTGGTAAATTTAAAACATTGATACTGAATTTTAGACAGAAAATTCAAAAAATATGCTTTGAATTGTAGGCAGCAAAATTCAAAAAGTATGCTTACATATAGTCATAAAGTAAGAAATAAAAACTTTCTAAATAATATACTCTCTGTCCAAAAACATCTGGAAACAACAAATTAAAACACAGATATCCAGACACCTGTTTATTTGTATAATTGTCTTTAGTAAAATATTGGCAACAAATATCATCCACCTCATTCCTTAAGCCCTTGCCAGGATGTAGGTGTGGGTGGGTACACTCACAAATATAGATGCCCCTATAATTCAGTAGTACTGGTTTTTTATCCATTTCTGCGATTTTGCTCTTCAGGATCATCACAAATTAGTATATAACTATTGCTCCCAAGTAGAAAAGGTTCATGAAAATCTATAATAATGAAATATTAAACTTAGGAATGTATGACTTTTTTATAAAATACATCAATTTTTACGAATTGAAGAAGTTTTTAGGAGTTAAGAATTTTAACGATTTTAAAACATATAAAGTATATAAATACAAAGTTTCATATTATGGTTTCATATTGGTTAAGATTTAAAGGTAATTTAACTACAGAATCAAAATGTACAAAATAGTACTGAGTTTGTATTTATTAGCAAAAGTTTGGTGGTGCTTGTAAAAATAAACTCTGAACTTTCACCCATCCACAAAAAATATTCCTTTGATTTTTCGAATACTATACAATTTCTGTATTGTACCTTTTTCTCTTTTAGCAGTGTTTATTAGATATATAAAAATTAATGTATACTGTGTCTATCTAAAATTTGGGATACAATTTTTATAGACCATTTTCAATTTGCCCCCTTATCTATGCAATTTGCAAAGGATTGGATTACAATGTTGCCGCTAAGATATTTTTTTCGGTTGATACTCAAAATTCTTTGTAAACAAGGTATTGTAAATTGAAGGTGTGATTTTAGTAGAATTTGCTACAATTTTTATTTTTTTTTGGAAAACATTGTATGGTATAATCATTATTTGGGTGCAAATTATTGTATGCAAATCTAATGAAACCATGGCAACAGTACTTACATCAATGTCATACGTCTCTTGTTATGTCATACCTTCACCTAACGTGATTAGTAGCGCCGTCGCCATTACGAACGGTTGGACCCACGCAACTTACTCTCCTCACTTATCCTATTCTACTTACACTACTATTTGTGTTATATACTGTGATTCTAATTTATATACATTTATTATTTATTAATTAGGAACTGGGAATACGAACAGACAAATAATAGAATCAGAAATCTATGTTTATATTTTAAACAAAAAGACTATTATCCAACATAAGTAAGAGAAAATTAGAAAAAATTATTAAATTAAAAAATTACATTTATGTCTGAGGTAGGTCAAATTATTTTATTTTTGAATGTATGGTCTGGAACAGTATATGTGTTATTAATTTGTTGCTGTTATATGAGAAATTTGCATAATGTAAACATATTTTTCCAAGTATATTCAATTAAGATAAGACTTCATCAGTGATAGATAATGGATACTATGTCCAAAGAAGAATATAGAGACATATTATACAGTATATATTCTTTGCTATTAGGAACAAATATCATTGCTTCAGAGGAAACTCTAGCAAGTATGGAGAATAACAAATGGAATATTTCTCAAGCTCTAAGAATCACGAGTTAATTCTTAAAAATTGAACTTGACCTATATGCTTGTAACTATTAAATAATGGCAAAATTAAAGACACATCATTCCATATATCGCACACCTATATTAAAAGTGTAGTAACTCAAAAAACCACTTTTTCGACAAATTGAAAAAATCTAATCTACTCAATATAATAAAAGATTTAAAAGCTTTTGTAAATCATATTGGAAGCACATTGGTTTACGAAGTATTTTGGTATCACATGAGTATTAATCTTGCATTTTTAATAGAAAAAAGTGAGATTTTTTGACTTATTACACTTTCGAAAAATGAAAACCGTCATGACTTCAAAATTATTTTGAATTAATTCACTTTTATTGCAATTAAATTAAGATGCAACGCTTTTAATCTAAATTTGTCAATGTGAATCATAACACAAAACTGTAGTTTTTTAGTGAAATAGATAAGAAACTTTCAGAAAAAGTAATTATTAAAGTCATATTTTAATTTTAAAATTATTTTATTTATTTTAAACAAAGTATATTATACAAAAAATATTCAAAAACAGTCATTACTTTTACACAATGTTGACAAAAACATAAAAACTATCCACAATTGGAAAAAACTAAACTGAGATACAACAGAATATTGACAATAACATAAATACTAAAATAACATAAAAATAGCATATGCATAAGCACTCAATAAATATTTATTCTTTTGCTGGCTGCAGCAATTATCAGAGTAAAAAATGATATCTAAATTTTTACCTTCATTATGATTATCAGCTATTAAATTTTGTATATAAGCAAGTACACAGCTTCCAATTTCTGTTGCACCACGTTTACCTTCTGTTTCATCCCAAAAATACAGTTTCATCAAAGTTGAAACAGTTTATTCTGGATTTATAAAAGAATAATGACACTTGGCCTTTAGGAACAGGCATCACTGCTTGCAAATCGTATACAGCTACTTTAACATCAGTCCTATTTTGGTCGTTTTCTTTCTCTATTCTTGCCAATTGTTTTTCTCGTAGATGATTTTCATAATTTTCAAGTAACTTTTGTTTATCGTTTACTTCAGCATTTTTATAACTTTCACACAAATCACTGAGATTTTTCTTAGGAATATAAAAAGATATGTTAAATTCTGTGTAAAGTTGTTTGGGAAGGAAAGGGCAAGTTATCTTTTTCACAAGTAAATTTATAGTCTCTATACAAATCTGATAATGATTTGTCGGACTGTATGAATTCACGTGATGTCTGAGCTCTTAAATAATGTGACTCAATTCTCAGAATATCATTTATAAATTCTATAACACTATTTATAATATCAGAGCCAACAGTGGGGTGATTGTTATGTTTGCCTCTAAGTTCCTCTTGAACAATTCCAGAATTAGTTTTCTTAGTAAGCGCTGTATCAATTGGCCTGTCGTTCAAATCAAACCCGTATACGAGTACCGTTCACTTCAAAAAAATATGCCTTATTCAGTGCTCTTAAATTTTGGGTGCTAGAATATCTGTACTTAGGTTTGATTTCATCCATGTGTCGTAAGATGTAATCTCTTTGACGTTGAAGATCAGCCATTTCCCAATAATTATTAAAAATGCGTGCCTATCTCGATATATATTATTACATCTCAAACGACATAATTCACCACAACCTTCACGAACCATTCTTCCTGAAATTTCTTTTTTTGACTTAGACATAGAAACGTATGCCTTACCTGAGTTTCGTAACTGTTTTGCTACATTCGTCTTCCAATTCTCAGGTTTTCGGACTTTTTTTCCTTTCTTTTCTCCATTATCTCCAATATTCGAAACTGTAGACTCAGATGCACTATCGGAGCTGTCAGAACTAGTCGAAGAACTGCTGCTTCTACTGGATGAAGAATTATTAGTTGTAGGATTTAATCTGTTTGAGAATAATTTGTCTGGAGAGACATCAAAATTTGGATTAGCATCGGAATCATCTATATCGCTTTCGTTATTTCGAATGGGAGATATGTAATAATTTTTTCTCTGATCCATATTAACAATATTAGAAGTACTTGGTAGACATAAATGATTATTGGTGTTTTCGTTGGAAATGGTTGGAGTTTCATTTAAATATATGCTATTCTCGGGTAGTAAATTTTCATTTCCAGGCATAAAAGAAGGCTTATCATGTTGACGACTATATTGATTAGATTCACTTGAATTGAATTCTAATGAATTTGTGGTGTCATGCAAAGGAATACTTTGAACTGATGAAATGTTGGAAGAATCTTTATTAATGTTCTTATTTTCATGCTTTTGTAAAGCCATGTCAACAAATAAACGGCCACGGCTCGGCATTATACTGAAACAATAACGATAAATAAACTAAACCGTCAAAAGTGAAGCAACTCAAAAATATCTTTTTATTAATTTGAAATAAAAATTTAATATTCCAAAATCTATAAAATAAAAATAAATCTCTTATAGTTAACATAAAATATTCAAAATTATCCCAAATATCAAGAACTAACTAAATTAACGTTACAAAATGAATTCACCATTAAAACCGATTTAACCCTAAATTCAAAAAATAGTTCATTAAAACTGTAGCACAACAAAATAAACTTTAAACAAATTAAAATTTAAGCAACAAAACTGCTACAATTCAAAATGCTGCTGTAAAAATATCTGAGTACATCAGCTAAATTGTATTAAATCTAAATAATTATTGTAGTTTTATCAAGTTTACTCACCAAAACCGTTGCAACTCAAAATGCCACACTGTGAAACCGTACACTCTGCACGAAAGTCGGAGCGTAACTAAAAATGGCGCGGTTTTATAATGAGGGCGAACGAGTGATTATTCAGCAAAACCGACTTACACCGCCATCTGTGACACACTAGGAAGAATACAATTACTGCAGTTTTATTGGCGAATAGGTAATTATTCGAGGAATTCAAATATGACCTTAACTCAAATACTCACATTTTTGAGTTGCTACACTTTTCATGCTGGTGTGCGATATACTCTAAGAATAGAAACCTTTAGTAACTTTTTAAAACACAATTTTTATTTTTGTTTTAACACTAGATTATTTATAGAAAAATACTGAAGAATGGTCAAAATATGCAAAAGTGTATGATCCAATAAAAGTAGGATCTATAGATGGAACAGATGTAGAGCCACATGACAGAGCTGTGGAAAGAGCTATTAATTCAACATATGTTCCAAACAGGCATGTCAAGGGGAAACCAGGATGTACACTTTTCGTTAGTAGATTGAATTACAACATTACCAAAGAAACTGTCAAGGAAATATTTTCACGGTATGGGAAGTTAAGGCGTTTTAGATTGGTAAAGGATGTTGTAACTGGTATGCCAAAAGGATATGCCTTCATTGAATATGAAAATGAGAGTGCAGCAGAAGAAGCTTATCAAAAAGCAAACAAATTAAATGTAGAAGGTAAGTTGTGATAATATTTTCTGTTTTGTAATGATTTCAATCATTTGAAGGTAAGTTTTGATTTTATCTATCCTCTATCTAAAATTTACTGCTTCTGTACTTAATGATCATAGAGGATTGATGGAATACAAGGTTCAAAAATGTTTATTATGCCTTTCATTTGCCTTTCTTAAGACTTTGTTGTTTCTATGTAGATCTAAGCTCTTCATCTCTCATTAATACTCTAGTGTTTATATATTTTTTATTAGATGGCTTTTTAACCTTTGCCAATTGAAGCCCTACATTCGCGATTATGGGGTTGTGGTCAGACAAAATGTCCGCACCAGGGTAAGCGGCCACTTTTTTGATATAATTGCGGAATCTTTTGTTTATCAAGATGTAATCAATTTTACTAGCCCATGTCTGTCCAATATTCATTATATTGTGCTTATTCGACCAGGTATATTTTTTCATTGGTAGTTGTACTGTATATGGATCCAGATACAATCCATGACAGTCCTTTTGAGCACTTCTACTAGGCTGAACTGAAGTATTTTGTAGTTGACACGTCTTTAGCAAGTTCATCAGTTTTTCTCAGCATTCACAATGCGAGAATTTATTATTCCTACTTCAAATGTTTTTCTTTAAAACCTTTATATAAAATAATAATCTGCTTTTTTCTTTTTGTGTTTTATTATTAATCCTGATGTGAATAGACTGTATTTTTCTTTTTTAGTTTTATTTTATTACTTATTTTCTGTTGTAGGAAGTATTATATTCGTTGACTTCGAATGTGAACGTTTATTGAAAGGCTGGAAACCAAGAAGGCTCGGTGGAGGTTTTGGCGGCAAAAAAGAATCTGGTCAGTTAAGATTTGGAGGCCGCGATCGACCGTTTAGAAAACCCATTAGCCTTGAAATTAAAGAAGATGAGGAGAGGAGAAAACGAGAACAGAGACGATTAGCGATGAGAGACGATAGGAGTAGAGATAAAGACCGTTATTATAGACGAAAAAGACCGAGATCACCCAGAAGTAGAAGTTAAAATTTGAGAATTCTTATTTATGCTTATGATATTTATATACTTTTAATTTAGATCAAAGTAAATTGTGTTTCTATATAAATTAGTCTTATTTTTATCCACATGTTTTCTCCTATATTGCATTAACGTCAATGGCAATTCTTTTAAATATTCTAATCGTTTTATGTGTGACAGGTAGCTCTTTTAGACATCAGACTCAGCAAAACTCAGGCTTGGTTAAAATAAAATTATATTTGAAACAAAAATAACAAAATAAAATTATATTGGAGAGGCTATATACATAATCTAAATACCAATCCTTCGGCGCACAGCTCGGTGACACGGTGGCCCACTGTTTAATACCTGCGAAAAGTAATACAATTAATCTCATAAAATTGAAGCGACAGTTCCGATGTATGAATACACGCGTGGCGAAGAAATTAAGGACGGGTTAGAGAAGTAGAGATGGACGGATCGATCAACACTTGGTCCGGCGAGGAGCAGGAAGTGACTAATCAACACCTAGCCACGGAAAAGAATACTCTGTCTCAGATCAACACTCGCAAGATCGGGTAAGGAACTGTTACTAGATCAACACTCTAGCAGAAGTGGTTGGCCTTCAGTCAACACTCTAGGGCCAGTGGAGTTGTTGCCAGATCAACACTCTGATATAACTCGATTCTCTCGTGCAGATGCTCTTGTTTTATACGGTTGGGGGTCTTCCATCTCATCTAGCTCGCATATATTGAAGTGGGAGTGCGTGTGTACGGTGCTTTGACGGGACGAAGGTGATGCAAATCGTTACACTGCTCTTAAAATGGAGATTAACAGTTTCCCATCAATCAGTTTTTTGAGTTTATAGACTGTAAAAACTGCCTTCGTCAATAAAGTTCTTAGTGAATTATCTCACCCAGTAAGACAACATGAACAATTGTCAGATCACTTTTCATAAGCGTTAGCAGATGAAATATCACTTTGACAGTTACCACTTTCCAAATGTACTCATAGATTATATACGTCGTGTCGGGATAGCATTTGACCTTTGAGAACCTATTTTGCTCATTATCTCCGCCGTTTTCAACTTTTAGACAAAAAAAGTAAGGACTGAAATTGTGGCAACTTCGACTTCCTACAATTTACTTTATAGAAATTTTTTCTTGCGATCGATGTTTTCTGAAAGCGGAAAATAATGGAACGGGAGGGGAAGCATAATTATTTAATTATTTGGTTTATTATTAACTTTTCGACATCAATGTACATAAGCAAAAATGAAGAGAATTATATTTCATACAATTTTGATCACTTTAATTTTTTTGCTAAAATCAATATTTAAGGTTATCGTAGGTTCGTTCATGTGCCTGTGTATGGCTTGCTGCTGATGATTTCACCGTCTAGGGTTCGTTAGGCTTAGGTTCTGAAATGGTGATTGTAGCACACAAAATCAAACAAATCAAAATTGTATAAAATATAATTCTCTCCATTTTTGTTAGTATATATATATATATATATATATATATATATATATATATATATATATATATATATATATATATATATGCCGTAAAGTTACTAATAAACGAGATAATTATATCTACTAGTTTCCCCCTTAACTCGGAAAATGTCGAGCGCACGAAAGAAATTGTAGGAAAACGTAATTGTAACGATTTAAGTTCTTAGATTTTGTCGAAAAGTTAAAAATGGCGGAGGTATAGAACAAAACCAACACCCTCAAGGTGTGTACCCTTACGCTCGCGCCTTTACCGCATACATACGATCGCAAATATTGATTTTAACAAAAAATGAAAGAGATCAAAATTGTATCAAATATAATTCCCTCTATTTCCTGTCGTAAAGGTAATAATAAACGAGATAATTCAATAATTATGCTTCCCCCTTCCATTAGGTTCCCAAATGATTGGAAATCGCATTTGGGGCAATTTCAATACGTATCATTTTTACCATAAAGTTGAAAATGGCGGATATATTGAGCAAAACGGTTCTCGTTTAAACTCAAGATAGTTTCTAACGAATCCCCCCCTCCCAAGGTAAGATTAATAAACATTTTTAAGGGAACATACAAATTCCCAGCTCGAAAAAAAGACTTGGTTGAATAAGTGGTCAAGACGTTCACGATAAGTGAAATGCAGTTTTTAGTGAATGATTAGATAATAAGTATAATTCCATTAGGGATTGGGTTAGATAGATAGGGATATTTAGAATCAAATTTATATTAATGTTATATTTATAAATAAATCGTTGAAGTGCGACGAGCTACGCCACGTGCTAACCTCACTGATGAGCAACGAGACTATAGAGAAATAACTATTTCTCTATGAACGAGACAAAGAAAACGACAATCACGGAGTGATAGAAAATGAAGTAGGAATTTTTCTCTTATAAAAATGATATTTATGTTCTGTTAATGTTAAGTTAATTGTTTTATTTCCAAGCTACCACAGCTAAAAATCTACAAGAATTGCATTTAAAAGTCCAATATAAGTGTCCTCGTCAGTGTCTGATTACTGAATGCCTGATAGCTAGATGTATCTTGGCGCCCCACACTATGAGCGAAGACGTTGCTGAAAATTTTACAACTCGTCAGGGAAATAATGCGTTGTTGCTACACATCAATTCGTTAAGTCAATGTTGTTTGTTACCTAATTAAATAATTGATAGAATCGATAAGAAAATAACAATTACATGGCTACTTTATTTAAGTTTAAATATATTTAAAAAATAATCATTGATGCCTGAATTCTCCATCGAAATACCTTTCTAATGATGTACCACACATGGTATATTCCTTATTTTAAATTAAAGTTTTGTGGTACAAATGATCACAAATGACAAACGTCTATATCGTTAGAAGATATCCATGGACGTATAAACATAGATGGACACAGAAATAAGATACCTTTAACACACAATGTTTTGAAGCTTCGATAGAATGTGATGCTTCCGCAATGAGCATAAGCGTGCTTGAATTTTTACTCGCGGGTAATTATTCAGATTTTAAAAATTGGAAGTAGTAATAATGTATAAATACACGTTCAAAGAATTAAAAAAAAACGAGAGTTTAACTATTAACAAATCACGTCTTTATAGAAAAATTAAAATACAATTTTATTTGCTTTAAAATTAATACAATTAAATATAGTTGAATTCAAGTTAATTTTTTAATAGTATCAAAATAATGCCACAATAATAAATCTTTATGTTTTCTCCTTAATTTGCTACCCAAATAGTTCGATCGTCAATATTATTTGGAAACCTACACAGAAAAATAAAAGAGTTTTATTCATTTCACTAATTTATTTGTATCCATGAGAAATATTAAATTAAAAAGGTACTAACCAGATCTTTTTTAATCAGATGATGTCTACTTACAATTTATAAATGTCTACTAATTTCATGATCTTATTCAATACATTAATGAACATGAATAAACCCAATGGTACGCCTATTAAAATGTAAACAAACACGCTTCCTCATTTCCTCATCTTAAATAATGTAAATTGTATGTATTTACAAATGAAATGAGAGATCGGGATGTAAATATTTCGTTTATTTTATTTCACTTTTTACAAATATCACTCAAAATACAGCCAAAATATCGAAAAACAACTTTTACTAAAAAGTAAACAAACATGGAACAGTATTTGAAGTTTGACGTAGATCCATAAGACAGAGAAATGTAAACAACCGTTGCCATTTATAAATAGTTTTCAGTGCTTCTACATATAAAATAATTGATTGATATCTATTATAAGCTATTATTAAATGATAATGCACACTATGTGCATACTTGATATTTTGATTACTTACAATTAAATATATTAATCTAACCAATAAATTATTATTTTGGTCTGATAATTTCTGATATTTTGGTGAATTTTGACTTCACAATTTTATGTAAATAACTGAGTCCATCGGTGTTTATACGTCCATGAAGATATCTTTGAATTAAAAATCGACCTTTTTTGGTACTTTCACAAAATCTAATATTTTCAAGTTTTCCTCTACAGACCTCAGATGTTCACACCTTTTTGTTTTCTTTCTCCAATATTTTAATTGAATCAACGACGTTAGGCAATGTTGCCTGAACACAGAGAACAGATTCCAATATGGAAGTCTGATTCAATTAAGGACACACAAAAAATAATAAAAAAAAAAATAGTGCAAACACCAATTCTCTGGAAAGTATTATCGTAGTTGTACATTAAAAAGTGGTATATCCCTTATTATTACAGGATATAAAGTATTTTCCCTACTTATATTGGAACGATTTGCTGACTGACTGAAATATAAAACAGAAAATTATCAGCATGGGTTTAGCATAAATCAATCAAGAGAATATCAAATCTTCAGGATTAGACAGTTATATATTGGGAAGAAAACAAAATATTGCAAAAGATATTTATAGATTTTAAGCAATTATAAGAATGGGGACAGAACTGAGCACTTTATCATAAGTCAAAAAATTGCGATACCTATTACGCTGTATAAATAATTGTTTTAAAATAATTTAAATAATGTTTAAATAAATATTTTTCATATGTCTTTTCTTTTTTAGAATCTCGTGCTGCGTTTATTAACAGACTGGAGGAGAACGAGAAGGTAAGAAAGTCAATTAATATTTAAATGAAAAGATCACTTGCATATAGATCATTGTAAATGAAACAACAATAAAAATATGAAAAGGCTCTTCAGAAATTATAACTAATGTTGGAGTAATATTTATATATTTTTAAAACAAAGGATTATGTATATCCATTTTGTATACAAAATGCCAAAAAATATTCCATAAAAAATATTGTACTTTCTATCCATAAATTTCCAGATATTTAACCAATTTTGAAAACTGCGTATACATTTATAAACGTGATTTTCCAATTTGTGGAAACCTACAGATTGCCCAATAACAGCTACAGTAAATAATTAATATATAAACTGTAGTAATCAGAAGTAAAAGTGTTTTTATTGCGTATAAGCAAATATAGCATTTTTCATATAAAAACGATTGCAAGTCATTCAAGATTCACGACGTCAGAACCTTACAGCGTTGCCAAAACATCAGAATAGTTAGTAAGTGAG